GGAGCACTGCAAGCTCTGAAATAGTTTTTCCCCAGTGAAAACCTTCAAATCTCATAGGATAGGTTCAGGCACTTCAGCATCTTAGACACTAGAGGGCGCTCAACTACAAAAAACTACACCCCTCCTTTCAATATGATATTTAAAATTTAAAGACTAATATTTCTGATACCAATAATGACTCTGAAAGTGTTCTTGTGCACACAAGGGGAACCCTTTGTGATTTCTAGAGTAAAATTGGCATTGTGTTATAAAACTACATTCAGAGCCTTTAAACTGACACCTAAACTGACTGTTTGGTAGAGCTTCATATGAACTGCTTTTATAAAGAATTCACTTTACAGAGACATTCAGACTCACAAAAAGATAAATATTCAGCTCAGTGCTCAAGGCAAGCCGAGTTTATTTATATATCACATTTCATACACAAGGCAATTCAGTGCGCTTCACTAAACTAAAAGCAAAAGGAGCATCAAAAGGAAACATAAAAAGAAAGATCTTAAGAATAAAAAAGTACAAAATAAAAATCTTAAAAACATAATTAAAAAAGTACAAAGTGCATAAAGTAGAAAACATAAAAGGGAATTAAAACAAAATGCATAAGTGTTATTAAAGTTATCTTATTATGGGTAAAGTGCAAATTAAAGAGAAATGTTTTTAACCTGGATTTAAAAATTGCTACATTTGGGGCACATCCATGATGTGAAATACAGGGGGGGTCTGAGGGGTCCAGGACCTCCTGGTTAACCTTATGGACCCCTTCATAGTCTCTAAATCCAAATTCTCCAGGGTCACTGAAAACAAACTTACTATCACGTTTTGCTGTCCATTAGGGAAAAATAGACACTCAAATGCAAATTCAGGGAAAACTTGTTGTTTAGCTGCTTCACTTACAATCAGCTTCTGTCTTTGGTGTTCTTAACTACCTAAGTCCAAAAACTCACCCAGTTTCCCTGGAGTTTGGTGTAAAGAGTGACTGTTCCTCATTTCTCACACTGAAGACAGAGGAGGAGATGAGGAAGATCTCAGTAAATGTGAGGAAGAGCACAGAACCACACTAAAACAGAGACTTTCTAGAAGAAGAATTGCTAAACCAATCATTTTGTTGCCATTAAAGCTGACATCAGCGCCACTATGGTGAGTTAGCTGCCAGCCAATGCTGGAGTCGCCAGCCAACATAGGACCCCCCAACCACCAAGGGCTATTCTGCACACTGGGCACATCTAAGGTCTTCTGGCACTTTGTTCCTGTTGTATACAGCATAACAGCTAAATGCTGCTTCACCGTGCTTAGTTTGGACCAGGGATGGCACCACGCCTCCAAAAGTGGTGGGGCAAAACATGTTTAATAAATAAATAAATAAATAAATAAAAACGAAACCGGCTGGATGAGTGACGAAATGCAATTAGGCCACTGACTAAAATTGCCTTGTTCATGTTATGCTAATCACCTGTCTTTATAAACCTATTCAGAGGTGGGTAGTAACTAGTTACAATTACTCAAGTACATGTACTTCACTAAAATATTAATGGATTTTTACTCTCCTAAGTATTTTTCAAATCATAATACTTTTACTTCTGCTAAATTGAGCAAAGGAATCTATTTACTCTGTTACATTTTAGCCACTCGTATGTAGTTACTAATCCATTATTTGTGTTTAATTTCAATGTATTTTGATGGTGGCAGTATTTGTACTACTTTGTGGTTGGTTACATATCTGACTTTAGAGCTTCTGTATTTTAGACCAAAGAATCCCCAAAAGAGAAGAAGAGAGCTGCACAATCTTCACTTGCTATGCTGATAAATGCTGGATATAGTAAGAAGTTCCACTGTAGTACTTAGTACTTAAGTGAATTTTCAACCTTCTTCTTTTGTATTTCTACTTTATTTTTTTGTGGGGGGGGGCGCTTTTACTTTTACTTAATTATTTTATGCAAGTATCAATACTTTTACTAGAGCATTGACTTAGACTACTCCTCTGAACCTGATCATGAACAGTCTCAGTGTTAGTTTTGATGCTGCTTCAGTAGGTGCAGCCTCAGATAGCAATACTTAGCATCTCTGAAGAACATCAGGCTGTTTTCATACCCAGTTCATTTTCTAAAAACTGCACCACATTTTGATTTTTGTGATATTGTATCTCTTTCATTTGGTTCGAATTGTGGACTGCAAGGGCTAAAGTGGACTGAATTACAAACGTGTGTGTTTGTTTATTGATCAGAAGTTTGCAGGGATACTTCATGCAGTCTAGTGAAAGCGGAGGTCTTTGTGTGCGTGTTCTCAACTCAAAAAGTCGTGGGGCGTCACCACAGGACTTCAAAAAAGGGGTGGGGCAAATGCCCGCTCGCCACCATGGTTCTGGTGGCCCTGGTTTGGACTGACCTGATCCATGGATCTAAAGGACCCACTCGGTTTATACTCTTTAAACGTATCAGAGATGTATTCTGGGCCTGAACCATTCAGTGATTTATAGATGACTAGTAGCACTTTAAACTCAATTCTGTAACTAACTGAAAGCCAGTGTAAAGATTTCTCCAGGTCCTGGTTAAAACTCTAGCAGTAGCATTCTGAATGAGCTGCAGCTGTTTAATGGTCTTTTTGGGCAGTCTAGTTAAGAGACCATTACAGCAGTCCACTCTACTTAAGATAAAAGCATGGATGAGCTTCTCTAGATCTTGTTTGGACACAAATTTGTTTTATTCTGGCTTTATTTTTAAGATGGTTTTGGTGACTGTTTTGAAATGGCTGGTGAAAATGAGATCTGACTCTATTAGAACACCAACAATTCTCACAATCTCTATTTTGTCCTCAACTGAAGAATTTTTAAACTTAGGTTAATAGGAATTGGAATTTTCTTTGTGTGCTGTGAGTATTTGTGAGTAAAAGGTGGTATTAGGGAGAGTCTCAGAGCTTGCTGAGCATTTGCTATCTTATGATACTATTGGTTAAAATCAGTGTGCCTGCTGGTGCATGGTGACATCATCAAAAATCAGAGGATGATATAGATGCAGGTCAAAGAGGGACATGGAGTTCTCTCATTGTTTACTTTGGGTGTCTTAGTTAACTAACCCCCTCGTGTGGAGGCCGTACTTTAGCCTGGCTAGCTCTCACTGTGAGTTATTTATATGCTTCTAAGTGGTGCTAAGTTACAGCCACCAAGAGGGAGATTAAAATAATACAGGAGTGAATTCTGTAACTTAAACACACAACTCGGTAATGGAAAAACACTTATGATGTAAAACGTTTGTGGTCCAAAAACTTTAGGGAGCATTTGGATACATATCTGTCTAATTACTGTGAACATTTACAGTTGATATTGCTGTGGGGATTTGAGAACACGACTAAAAGCACAATATACTTGAACCTGTTTAACTACAGCTTAACTACTCTCCCATACACTACACAGTGTACTGTGTATACATTAAATGCAGGACAGCAGACAATAGACAATAAGACAGAGAAGACAAATATGCAGCACATATCAGCAATGTCTGTTTGTGGATTAGCTTTATTCAATGTAAACTCAGTCCCTGGCAGCAGCTTACACTGTCCAGACAGAGTGTACTGTACAAAGCGTGCACAGTTCATGCTTTAGTAATTTCCTCTGGTATTTAACAGCTTGAGTTTTCTGGTTTAGCTAGTTGGCCTTTTGCATAGACCTACAGGACCAGCTGAAAGTTGCTCTCAGACCAGAGCAAAAAGTTAATGCTACACAACATACGCAATACAAAGCATTTAACCTACTGAGGTTCCAAATCTAATCCATTCCCTCAACCACCAGGCCTCCGTCAACCTTGTGTGGAAGCTTGTGCTTTGCATATAGTCCTCATAGCCTGTACAATTCTGGATGAACTGTGTTTTTCTTGATATATTTATGCAGTGGATTCACAGAGCCTAAGACACATTCATAGAGGGGCTTTAAACATTGTGCTTAACAGAGCTTGCAGAGTGCTGTAATTGAATCAATTATAATAAAAGATCTTTAAAGGGATATTCCACTGTTCTTTCAAAATATTTTCCTAATTAAATCATTAAGATGTAGGTAAAATCAATCACAGAGATTTGATGTGAAATGCTCCAGTGTAGAGAAACGTACTGAGTTACCTTTGTTCACAGTGGTGGTGATAGGAACCAGACGTCTGAAGCGCTTAATGCCACTAAAAGCTTCCTTACAGAAAATTCTGATATGAAATAGTTATAAATATGCTGCTTGAAGCTCAAAACATTTTTATAATAGTTTTGAGATAAGCTTTTAGCCTAAAAACTTTTTTTTTCAGGAGAGGTACACGTAAGGTGTTGCGAAGCAAAATACATCGCCAAAGAAAACATTTTTTTCAGAGTTACCACTGTTTAAACATTACTAACTTTATATATAGAAATTCAGAAGACTCGCATAGGTTACTTGGTTATTTTGAATCCTACATAAAATGCATATATTTGTGTTGCACACATTGTGACCTTCTGGTTCCCATCACCACCATTGTAAAGAGTCTGTGAGTTTCTCAACAATGCATAATTTCACATCAAAACACTCTGAATGACTTTGTTCACATCTCAGTCAATGAATTATGCAGAGATTTTCACATATTGGTGGAATTCCACTTTGAGTTTAACATAGAAAATTTCACTGGAAATTAAACCAGATGTTGGAAAAATGTACTTTTAAAATAAGATTTTAAGGGCTAAGGGCATTAGTAGTTTATGCCATTATGGTGCTGAGAAACAAAACGTGTTAGATGGGATGTGGTCAGTAGGCCTACAGACCTGTGTCTATAAACAGTTAAATTGTAAAAAAAAGGGTCAAAGTCACATGATCAGTGAGGGCTACGCCGAAGAACCGATTCTTTGAAGAGCCGATGAACCACAAGGCTCGATTCCTCAGGCTTCGAGTCTGTACTTCGGCTCCTACATTTTCAACGTACAACTGAACCGAGTCTTTTTTGACGAGTCGATCCGACTCCCACCGTTCACTTAAAAAAAGGAGTCGGTTCGAAAAGAACCGATCGTTTGCGAGCGAATCTGTGCCGGTGGCGGCGGGGAAGCTGCCCAAAATGGCTGCTAGTCACTATTACGGGTTCCCTCACGGCGCTGCCGGCCCTCAATACAGGTAAAACACACCGGCACGGACCGCGAGTCGGGCGGCTACGTTCGCTCAGCCGCCCGCTGAATCGTCCCGGTTGTTCATTCGCCGGTGGGCAGAGCCGAGCGGTTTAGCAGAGCGGGTCGCTATGCTAAGCTAACAAGCTACATCCAGAAAGTCAGTAAGGTTAACGTTACCCGACGAAAGCTCGCTGCTAACCGCTCACATAAACCTCCCGCAGCCCTCTAAAAATGTCCTTTCTCTGTCTTGTGTACTTTTATTTGGCTTTCCAACACTCTTGTGAAGGAATTATGACTATGTATGAATGTTTGCTAACCTGGTTTTGTGAGCTGCAGGAGCTTGTTTGAGGGTTTAGCCTAATGGAAGGGCTCTGCTGCACAAAACTGCTTTGATTTAAGAAATGTCACTCATTATGTGCAGCACACGGTTTTAAACATGTTATAAAGGCATGTTCTCAACTACCACTTCATCTTAGACACGAAAAATACTCCTTTAGCCAATGTTGTAACGAGGGCATGGATGCACAGTAACACTGACATCACTTAGGCTAAACTCCTAAAAAAGATGGTTCATAAGAAGGTGGTTTAGTCAAGGCAGTGAGTCAATCAGTGTTTAGAGGCATGAGTTCTATATAGAACCATTTCGTGCTTAAATGGTTCTTTGCATGGTGAAATGGTCCTTCAGACTGATGGAGGATAGGTTCTATATAGAATGCATGGAGAATGTATTGAAACTGGTTCTTTGGTGCTACAAAGAACCATAATCAACACATTCTCCATGCATTCTATATAGATGCCAAGCCATTTAAGCATGAAATTGTTCTATATAGAACTTCTAAGTAGAACCATTGCTTTTACTAAAGAAGCCTTGAAGAACCTTGTTTTTAGGAATGTAAAGGAGGGACTTCTGCAAAAACTGCTGTAATTTCAGATATATTAACGTTACTCGTTATGTTCAGCACACATTTTTGAATATGTTACCAAGGCATGTTCTCAACTACAGCTTCATCTTGGACACGAGAAATGGTTCTTTAATGTTGGAACGAGGGTATGAGTAAGGGTAACACTGACATCACTTAGGCCAAACTCTTAAAAAAGATGGTTCTTCAAATGTTCTTTAGTAAAGGCAATGAGACAATGAGTTTTTAGAACCATGGGTTCTATATAGAACCATTTTGTGCTTAAATGGTTCTTTGCTTAAATGGTTCTTCAGACTGATGGAGGATATGTTCTATGTAGAACCTTTCTGAAAGTGGTACTATATAGTACCAAACATGTTCTTCTGTTGTTACAAGCTTTTTTGGTGCTACAAAGAACCATTATCAACACATTCTCCATGCATCTGAAGAGCTATTTCACCATGCAAAGCCATTTAAGCATGAAATGGTTCTATATAGAACTAATGCTTCTAAATAGAACCTTTGCTTTTGCTAAAGAATTGTCTTTTTTTAAGAATGTAATGGAGGGGCTCCTGCAAAACTGTTTTAATTAAAGAAATATTACTCGTTATGTTCAGCACACATTTTTGAATATGTTGCCAAGACACGTTCTCGACTACAGCTTCATCTTGGACACGAGAAATGGTTCTTTAATGTTGGAACAAGGGTATAAATAAGGGTAACAATGACACCACTTAGGCCAAACTCTTAAAAAAGATGGTTCTTCAAATGTTCTTTAGTAAAGGCAATGAGACAATGAGTGTTCAGGACCATGAGTTCTATATAGAACCATTTTGTGCTTAAATGGTTCTTTGCATTCGTTCTTGAGATTGATGGTGAATGTGTTGTACATGTTTCTATATAGAAAATGGTTCAGTAAGTGATATTAGTGTTGATGTGCATCCTTGACATGTTTTTTAATGTTGGAACAAAGTCAAGGATGCACATTAACACTGATATCACTTACTGAGGTTCTTTGGCAAACTGAGGTTTTAAGATCCATTATCTTGTAAGGGGCAAGATAATAATACCAGGTTGTGAAAACATGACAGTATCTGCTAAAAAAGGGCAGATTAGACAGAACATACAGATGTTGAGGGTTTTGAAATTAAGAAATTAAGAAGTGTTCTTAATTAACTATAATTCATTAGTTAGACGCCCCATATCCTATATTTTTCCTGTATTATGTCTCCACTTATAATTTTGTGTACCAAAATAAATTTTTACACAACCGCCTTCCAGCCTCTCCTCATCGCTTACACTCTTAAAAAAGAAAATGGTTCTATATGGAACCATGAACAGTCAAAGAACCCTTTGCATGATTTCCATGATGCAAAGACCCCATTAGAGTTCTTCAGATTGATGGAAAACGTTCATGAATGTGCTATAGAGGTTCTGTATGGAACCTTTTTGAAAAGGGTTCTATATAGCACCCAAAAAGGGTTCTTCCATTGTTACATTATGGCTTAAGTTGTTACAATATGACATTTTATTGTGGGTGCTGTGTAGAACCATCTACAGCACATTCTGAAGAATCCCTTCATGATGCAAAAGTGGATGATTCTATATAGAACCCTTTTAAAAGTGCTTCTATATAGCACCCAGAAGGGTTCTTCTCTTGTCACAATGTCATGTTGTAGCAATAGTTATACAGTAACAACAGAAGAACGCTTTTCAAAAAGGTTCTATATAGAACAATCTATAGCACATTCATGCACATTTTCCATCAATCTGAAGAACCGTTTCATGATGCGAAGAACCCTTCAATTATGCAAGCGTTCGTTGAATGTTCATAGTTCTATAGAGAACCATTTTGTTTACTAAATAACCCTTGCATCATCTCTTTTAAGATCGTAGAATTAAACAGGCTGGTTTTGCTGCTGTGACTTTAAGACCTATCTATGTAAATGAGCTCTGAATTTGGCTGTTCTGATTGGTTTTCCTGTGTTGTGCCTCATTCAAAAAGCAGTCAGGGCTGAAAGGCTCGTTATAACTTCAGTGTGAATGGGCGGGGCTGAACTGCTGTAGGCTGAATAGGCAGATACACCGATCAGGCATAACATTATGACCACCTCCTTGTTTTACGCTCATTGTCCATTTTATCAGCTCCACTTACTATATAGGTGCACTTTGTAGTTCTACAGTTACAGACTGTAGTCCATCTGTTTCTCTGATACTTTGTTAGCCCTCTTTTAGTTTGTGTTGCACTGGTACAAGTGGATCAAGTGCTGCTGGAGTTTTTCAACACTGTGTCCACTCACTGTCCACTCTATTAGACACTCCTACCTTGGCAGTCCACCTTGTAGATGTAAAGTCAGAGACGATAGCTCATCTGCTGCTGCACAGTTTGTGTCGGTCATCCTCTAGTCCTTCATCAGTGGTCACAGGACGCTGCCCACAGGACGCTGTTGACTGGATATTTTTGGTTGGTGGACGATTCTCAGTCCAGCAGTGACACTGAGGTGTTTAAAAACTCCAGCAGCACTGCTGTGTCTGATCCACTCAGACCAGCGCAACACACACTAACACACCACCAACACGTCAGTGTTACTGCAGTGCTGAGAATGATCCACCACCCGAAACAGTACCTGCTCTGTGAGGGTCCATGGGGGTCCTGACCACTGAAGAACAGGGTAAAAGGGGGTTAACAAAGTATGCAGAGAAACAGATGGACTACAGTCTGTAACTGTAGAACTACAAAGTGCACCTATATAGTAAGTGGAGCTGATAAAATGGACAATGAGCGTAGAAATGAGGTGGTCATAATGTTATGCCTGATCGTTGTAAATGCAGAGGGGCTGTTTTTCTTATCACAGAAACTCTTTTATTTAAAAAGAAAAGGGTAGAAAATGTGATTTTCCAAGATATGGACCCTTTAAAACATGAGAGGACTGGTTAACAGAATGCTCCCTGGCTCAGTCACCATAAGCAGCTCTAATGATGTCTGAACCTTTCTTTTCCTAATATTGCATGTAATTTTTGCCAGGGATCATCAGTGAATGATGTCATTGTGATCAGTTCACATTCTTAATCAGATGAAACAACTTTATTTGCAAGTCTTAGACTTTAGAGTCTGCTCATCTAGGCACGCTCCGATATGGGAATCGTGGCCCGATTCCCACATCTGAAATTGTTTATGTACATATCTGCCAATTCTGATGTTGATACCTGAACACTTACAAAATTCAAACTAGAGCCACCTGAATTGCTATTGTGGATGGATATAATGTGTATATCTGTGGGGCTACAAATGCATTAAAATGAATTACATACAGATAGTTTAGTGCAGTTTTTTCAAAGTAAATTATCTGCTGATGCTGGAATGACTGTCGTCATGCATCTCTTCTTTTATTGCTTTAGTCTCTTAGTCACAGTTTTAAAAAACATTTGTTCTTGAAATTTCATTGCTGTTTAGGTGTCAGTTTTTTCCATTTTGATTTTCCTCCATCATGTGACCTTGGCATTGACAAAATTTCATGACAAATGGACCAATTAGAAATGCTTCAACAATTACTTGGGAATAAATCTTACATTACATTAACTTGCAATAAAAATAAACATTTTACCTTCTCTTGTAAAGTTACCATTTTTGAGGTGCTTATTTGTTTGGACAGCAACAATATGATGATGTAATGGGGCTCTCAGATTGAAATGTAGTGTCCTTGTGCTAAATAATGATCGATAAAACTATTTATCTAACTATCTATCTGAGCTATAAGCAAGAAGTAGGGAGGACGCACCTGAATGCCTAGTTTTGTTCAAAAATGGCATTTTTTTCCACTTAACTGAAGTTGTTAAACCCTTAATTTTCCTATTGTAGAAGTTTCTAGGCTGTAATTTATTTTTGCTTTGAAATAGTATGTCACTCTGACCTGTTCTGACCTCCCTCAGCACCCAGCCACCTCCCACGTACTCCCATCAAACCACTGCCAGTTACAGTGTCCAGCCTGCCCCTGGAGCGGCCCATGCGGTCACAGCGTCGTATGCTCCTGCCACCGTGCAACCCACCCGGCCGGTGGCATCTGCAGCCTACCAAACCTACCAGGCCCACACAGGTCAGGATTACGGTTACCGTCAACAGGAAACGGCCCCTCAGCCAACCACCACGCCTCAGAGCTACCAGGTTTTCACAGAAGCGGTTAGTTTCATTTCATTATGTTGAGCCAGCAGTACATTTGTATATGTGTGTATGTATGTGCATCCACTGATATTTGTAAAGCCAAGATAATGGTAATGGTGGTAGATCTTTATTCGTTTTACTGTCTTATAAGATGTGGTTATGCTGGTTTTTGTCCCTGTAGTTGGATATTTCCTGTGTGTGTATCAGTGTGAATGATTGCTCGATTGCTAAAATGCCTGTTACCCTGTCAATTGAAAAATACAGGAGAACTACAACTACGGACGGCCAGTGTCAGCCACTGCTGGTTATGAGAATAAACAGTACTATCAGGCGAGCATCGCACCTGCTGAACGCACCCCGACTGAATCCTACTTTCAGCAAGGTGATCTCCTATTTTAATCCTGCAGTCAGTGACTTAAAATGTTTACTTTCTGATTACACTGAAAAGTATAGTGAGATTTCTGTTCAGTTAATTGTCCGATTAATTTGTAGAAAATAGTTGGATCTCACTTAAAAATTGCAACAACAAACCAGTGTGAAAGATTAGTACACTTCAGGGCCATATAATTCAGTTAGACCAATCTTGCAATAATAGTACATGTGTAGTAAAGGATATTTTTCTGACATGATTAGTAAATGTAGTAATCATTACAGTAAATCATCATGTAAAAACGTAAATCATTACGGTGATTTTTGTGTCTAACAACATCCCTTAATGATGGTATAATCAATGTAACACACCTCCAGTAGGCTTTTGCTTTTTATAAAGTGGTGGTAAAATACATTGAGAACATATTCCAAGGTTTAATTATTTGTCAATAAAGATCTGTAATCAATTCTTCTGCCAAGCTGTGTAGTTTAACAGTAGTCAGTGGTTGCCTAGCAACACAACGGTCAAAGATTATACAATGGCACGATAGACCTCTGAAGTTGTGCGTCGTTCTGTAGTAGACATCATGCCCATGTTTGGAACTCAGCGTGGCATTTTTGAAAATCGCCACTGTCACACACTGTTCCAAACACAATACGGTTTATCCTGCATACATTCCCCCCTCACTGAGTGTTAGACCCAAAATATACTTCACGCAAGGACGTGAACGCAGACGATTCGAGCTACGCAGGTGGGGTTCGCATGTGGTTGCTTTCAAAAGTGTGTCATGACGCATTTCCTAGCCAAGCGCAAGCTGCATTCTGAGCATTACAGCAAGGGGCGCTACAATGACCGCCAAGCCAGTTCAAGCAGTCTTGTACTGCCAGCGTGCTTTCTCAGCTGCCACAGCAGACGAGCCTTTGAGTCTCACGCGAAGATGATTACATAGATGTAAAAAATATGATACGTTATCTCCTTTCCATTCCAACCGAAGAGGTGAAGCAGCTCACTCTCCTCTGCTAGTCCACGTTTATCTGTTGAGGCTGTTGGAGTAACTGTAGATTCCTCTTTGATTTGTCCTCTATCGCCCCCTTCAGTTCAGTGAGTGTTTTAACCGGCACAGTAATATAAGAGCGTACTTGCATTGATTGTTTCTTACTGGATCCTCTGAGTTCCGAGAGTGTTTAGTAGTTTAAATACAAATAATGCTACATACATGCTACAGACAAGTTAACTTTCCTGCGGGTTGGAATAATGTTGGGCCTCCAGTGACGTTCGCAGCAGAAATGTTTATATGGCCAAACATATTGGCTTTGGAACATTTTTGTTTAGCATAGGCCAGGAAAACGCCTTTATTTTCCCCTATAGAGAAAATCTGCTGAGACTACTTCCTACTATGGGCATGATGGTGATATTCAGAGGTCTGTGGTTTTTAATAACTTGGTGCGCTGATTTTGTAGTCTATTATCCATAAGCTGAGTAGTTTATAACAACTATTATTGTGAAAACTCATTTTGGAGCCATCTTTTGTTTAAGATATTATTTTAAATATTTGATATATTTCATAAGATATTTTGTAACTGTTACATTCAGTCGTAGTTCTGTTGACTCAATGTTTGTTACTATTCCTTCAGGTCTAAAAAGTGGTTATAGACCTGCAACCGCTGCATACAGCCAGCCTGCTCCTCAAAGACAGGTCACATCTCTTAAACCGCTCCCTCCTGTCAGCTCTGTGTCCACCAGCTACAACATCTACTCAGCCACAACCAGTGTACAGCAGCAGCCAACCCCCATATCCACTTACACCCCCAGCTCCTCCTCCTACAACTCCACAGCTGCCACTTCTTACTCTGGTAAGTGGGGGCTTTTTTTCCTGGCGTGTGTTCCAAATATCTCCTAACGGTATTATCTCACACTGAGTGCCTTTACATGCACAATAATAATACAATCATTAAAGGTTATCAGTTGTCAGAGTTGTCATGCAATTAGCACACTACAATATTTTCAGACTGCTATCGGATTTCAAGAAATCCAATAACCTGGATTTTAGCCCAGTATTGAGGTTTTTCAATACCTCATACTGTTAATCTGGTATTTTTAGTCTTCCTACATCACGCTAACATAACAGAGAAGAGCTTCCCTGGAAACACTGTAGACTTAATTCAGCTCTACACCTGCATTGCCATGTCATAAAACTACATAATTAATAATACTGTTGTGTTTTCTATTTTGGCAATACATTTGGCACTATGCTGCCTTTCAGAAGTTTGGCATCACTGTCATATTAACAATATAACAGTAATACACTGCTGTCAGAATAAAACCTTGTATCTCCATAATGATAACCTTACAGGAGAAGGAAAAACATACTTTGCTTTTAATGTCAGTCAGTATAATCAGACCTTTTTCAAAGTAATTGGTCCATTCATCATGAAAGTTACAGACAACGTAAAAGGCAGTGGGTACTTTCAAATTATGTCAGAAGCTGAAAAACGACAACAATGGAGATATGAGGTTTTGACAGCAGCGAGTAATTTACGAGGGTTAAAATATTACAAGCTATTGGCCCAAAGGATTAAAGATTATGATCTTATTAAATGATATATAATGTACTGTTATCAAAGTACTTAATATTTTTGTTAGTATCCACTGAGATATGATCTGCACTTTTTAAGTCTAATGAATTCTGGATTTTTTTTAAATTAATAGTTTAATTCTTAATGTTATGCAGTTTTTGCAGCCATTTTAGAACCATCAGTTCTGTTTTTCATTCTGGACACATCTAATTTTTCCTGATTTTTTTATTTTGTGTCCTGCGAGTCATTTGAAATCTGTGAAGTTGGACAGGGTTAAAATATTAGAATCATTTTATGCATTTATCTACAACCAAATTAGTTTCATGTTATTAAAAAACATCTGTGCATTTATTCATGGGTTGCGTACATCATACATTTAAAAAGAAATCTTGTCATTGACTCACTCATTTAGGCTCTTAGTTTTTCCATTTCAGATTACCTAAAGGCATGTCAGTATGAATTATTGCCAAAATCACATTTTGTCTGGTTATCAGATTATTCTGTACATGTAAACATACTCAGTGTTGGACTTAGCGTTTCTCTTTTGTTTCGACTCTCTTCTGCATCTCTGCAGGTCTCAACTACTCCACTTACGAATCTAGCGGCTACACTTCCACCTCATCATACTATCAACCCTCCCAACAGCTGGGACCCCAACAGACCCCCACCCAGGCCCCTTCCCATCAGCCTCAACCTCCACAGCAGCAGACTCAGCCACCTGCTAAGCAGCTCACCAGCGCCTCTTGGAGCAACACAGGGAACAGCATGGTCACTAGTTCAGCTATCAATACATACAAGAAGCCCATGTTCCATCAGAATAAGGTCCAAAAGCCAAAAGGCCCTCCCAAGCAGCCTCAGCTGCACTACTGCGACATCTGCAAGATAAGCTGTGCTGGGCCACAGGTGTGCATATATTCTATACAGATTTCTCAGGTCATCAGATGCATGTGTTCCTGTATTTGGATGCTTTGTAGAGTAGATGGCCAGTAATCACATAATGCTGGTACAGACACAAGATTGCAATGTTGGCTGCTTTGCTAAGTGCTGTTGCTCAGCCGTGCCAGATAAAGAGCCTGTATCATGGAAAGCTGAAGTTTAATGTAGTACGTAAACACTGAGTTTGGATCAGATCAGATTTTGTGAGTAATCCAATCAACGTGCTTACATGCACTTGAGTGATCAGATAATGGGGAAACTCCGGGTCTAAATGAGTCAGACAGTAATAGGATTTCTGCTTTAGAACCAGCCAATAAACTCACAGAAAAAGACGTGACGTAATGTAAAACTCAAACTTCATGATGCTCCTTTTTTTTTTTAAACATCGCACCACTTTACCTAAAAAAATATGCGCACATATATCATCTAAAAGATAAGGAATATTTAAATCCTTCATTTCATCAAGCTTGCAGTTTGTTTCAGCGTCACTTCAAAAGTGGTTTGCTGCGTCTCGCGGCGGCGCTGCTCGCTGATTTCCGGTACCGTCATTTGTTTTGCACAGCGCAGACTGAGAAATCAGAAAGAAATCAGAGTAAGAGTTTACATGCCCTGAGAAATCTGATTACTGAGCTAAAATCCATCCTCTTTATCAGACTTTTTTTAGTTGGACTTCTAGACCTTACTCTGATTTAAGAAATCAGTGTGCTGTTTACACAACAATTTGAATAATCAAATTACTGCAGAAATCTGGTTAAGGTCGAATTATTGAGCGCGTGTAAACACACTTATTATTTAAGTTAAAATATGTACGATCCATATGACGCACCCAGCTAAACAATGTCTGCTTCTCAGCAGAGGAGGCACCAGCACTGTATCATGTTGAGGGATTGGAAAGATTCTATGAATATCTTTTTGAGAAAGATCTTTTATAGAATCTTTCCAAGTCTCTGAAAACGTTTCCTGTTAAAGAATTGTTATGTGGCCACATTATTTTTATCAGCTAATATTTTTTGAGGGAAAAAAATCCGTCTTTGTCTTTTGTGTATCATGGACATTCAGCATTCACATTTCTTTTGTGCACATACCTTATTTACATTCTAATTCTATCCTCTGTCCCGGCATCTTCGCCTCTTTAGGCGACATGAAATAAGCTTTCAGTCAACGTTACCACAGTAATTTGACTGGTTAGTTTTTGCTTGAGAAATATTAGAGAAATTCGTTTAGGAATATTATTAATGCAGTATATGGTTCTTCAAGCAGCTGAATTGAATCACTATCAAATCATTCTTAATTAAAAAAACAAACACTTTTGAATTGAATCAGACATGAATTGATTCACTCAGCTCAAAGATTCATACTCCTATCAATGACTCATCCCATGTGTACTCAAGACCTACAGGGAGCACCTGGAAGGTCAGAAGCACAAAAAGAAGGAGGCGTCTCAGAAATCTGGCAGCCAGGCCAGTAATGGACCGCGTGGTGTGCAGACGCAGCTGCGCTGTGAGCTCTGTGACGTCTCCTGCACCGGTGCAGATGCCTATGCAGCACACATACGGGGGGCCAAGCACCAGAAGGTCTGTGCAAAAATGAATAAGTTCTAAACTTTAAAGAATGTGACATTTTGTTTACAATAGGTTTCTTAAACCAGAGCAGTGGCTGTTTGTGTTTTCTGTTCCTTAAAACCCAAGTATACACATACAAGGTCTGTCCTTTGAGTAACTTCACAGTAAATGACTGAGGTATTTTGCCAACAATCTCCTCTTTCGATGGGCAGTGAAAACTTCAGGTAGCTCATTCATAAGGGTATCCTAATCGGTCACAAGGCAGATGTGGCTCCTCCTGCTCATACGGCGTTAACAAAACTGTTCCTCAGTGGTCTCTCTTTGCTCAAGTTGGAGAAAGTTTCAGATAGAAAGCTAATAGTAAGCTAATCTAACAAGCAGATAACTGAGGTTGCAAGAACATCCATTTATCTTTTTTGTTTGGTCAACCATCCACCAGTGGCTGTGTTTACATGCAAAGATTTTTGCCATTCTGATTGAATACCTTTGATTATAGATTAAGACTGAGGTGTTTATATGGGCACTGTCCTGAACAATCTGATGAAAATCTCTGTTTACATGTACATTATAAGTAATCTGATCCAAACTTACATGTATGCGTGGAGAACCACTTAGTGTAGATGTTACCATGACAATGAGCATCACGAGTCCTGTCAGAGTGAGATGAGCAGCAGTGAGCAGTGATTGTGTTTTTAATTGCTTTAAAATGATGTCAGACTCAGGAAAACGTCCTTCACATGTCCTCATTAAAGAAGGCCGAGAGGAAGACGTCGTGTTCTGAGACACATAAGCTGGACGTCCGTCCCACCACCGTCTTTTAAAGATCAGAGCATAAACTTCGTCTCCTCTGCAGACCAGTTTCTGCTCCGCCATGTTGAGCGTTTCACTGTGACGTGACGAACATGATCAGAATGTACTTAAACTTTCCGATTGGGAATGTAATCGGATGCAGACGTTTACACGGATATTATTCTTCTATTTAACAGATTATTTACAGGATTACCCACCTCATTCAATCGGATAGAAATTGTATTCCGAATGTCCTCAATCGGAGTAGTCTATTCCGATTGAGGTGTAAACATGGACGTATTCTATTCCGATTGAGCTATTAGTTGGATTATTAACAAATTATTAGGTTGCATGTAAACGCGGCTACTGTGTCCTAATTCAGGGGCTGGATACGTAGAAGGACGCGGTCGAGGAAGGCGTGTCCTGCTTACGCTCTGCGAAGGCTAAACTGAAATGAGACTGTACGTCTGCTGTACGGCGAATTTTCTGTTTGCGTCACAGCACCGCTAGTCCTGCCCTCACTGTCTTGTCAAGTTCTTTTAAAGTTCTTTAAAGATGGAGCCAGAAACTTCGATTTCAGTTGTTTATTTTGTCATTTATTAGAGCTGGAGATCACCGCCGGCTACTGATGAGATTTTTTTTTGTACATTTGAATCGTTCAGCTCAGTTTAAACCCAGTACTTATATTTAAAAGTGTCCCTTCAGCCGCCATTTGCTCCTCTGTTGATGCCACCATATTCTCGAATCCTCGGCGGCATGCAATGAACCTCAGGATATGTTGGCTGGTGAAGGATGCACCTGTAGGATTCCTCGTTGCCATGGAAAAGAAGGACACATTTCTTGGCCGCATATGAAGGAGCCTTCGAAATGGGACATCCTAGTTGTGCCGCTGTGACGCAGTCGGCCTTCAAATGCAGCCTCCGAAGGACACAGCCCCATACATTTAAAAAATAAATGAAGATGGATTGGAAAAAGTATGTTTCTTTGTGTGTGTGCTGATAACGTTCTCTTTCTTTCTTCACTAAACTTGATGTCTCTGAACTCAGGAATCAGGTCTGAAGTGTTTTTGTGACTGGGAGCTGCTCTGTTTTGATAGGGCTTTCAGATCTTTTAAACTTTTAAACAACTAAGTGATTTATGAGCTACATTTATTTTTGCTCTGTGACATTATTGAAAAAATAGCGAAGTAGAAATGTTTTCTTAGAAATGCACCGTTTTTATGCAAAGTATTTTTTTAGAAATATAAAAGGATTTTCAACATCCTCAAAACATTACTGTTACTAGGAAAAATTTAACAAGTACTGTAAATACAGTTCCACCTCTGATTATAGGCACGGGGGTCTAACTGCTTGCATTTTATGGGCTAATAAGCAAATCGTAAGAATTTGAATGTTTTTAAGAGCATCTGAAATAAACCCTCAATCAAAATACAATAAATGTGTTCTCTCTTTTGAATTTTCATTAGGTGGTGAAGCTGCACACAAAACTTGGCAAACCCATTCCCTCGACAGAGCCAGTTTTAGTGAACTCAGCTCCTGTTCCTGTAACTACAACCTCTGGAAAACCTGCGGCTCCTGCTGTAGCTCCTGCTTCACCCACAGTGCCACAGCAACCCACCGCTCCGAACCCTCCCAAGGGTCAGCCGCCAGCGAAGAAACCTGCTTTGACCAAAGCCACTGTCATTGGTGAGTGTGCACGGTTTAGGTCCAATCCCGTTTCTTATTTTTACCCCTACTCCTTGTTTTCGAGTGTCACTTTGCCCCTTGGAACTGAGATAAAAGGGGTAGTGGTTGAATTCTTCCCTCTGAAATGGGACCCTCAAATAAAAAGAACATTTCTTCATTAACAGCTACCAGTGCTGCTCTGTAGGCGACCCTGCCAGTCTGCAGTGACAGCAGAGGAGGGTAAAGTTCAGCTCCTCCCTGCTGGGCTTTAGTTACATTTAGGGAATCATATGCCTTCAAAGAGGGGGGCAGTTATTTTTTATTGCCCACCCCTAATTCTTCAGTGATATGAAGCTGAAGTCAAATATTTGCCAGCTTCTCGTTCACATTTTCCCGTTCCGCCTTAAATAGAGCAGCAGTTACATTCTGCCGCTTCAGGCATCAGAACTGCGGGACTATTTAAGGTGGAACGGGAAAGCTAGCTAGCTACTGAGACATCAGCACAACTAGTGATTTTTTTTAATGCTTGTTATGGAGAAAAGGACCATAATACATTGAAATGACATTAAACTAAGATAATACAGTGGTTATCATAATTTTTAACAGAGAGAATTCTCACATTTGTGGGTTTCTTTGGTCTCTTGTGCTTCATCTTGCCGGCCTTTCCTTTTTCTCCTCTCACTCTGTTTGGAGTGAGCCTCTAAAAAAGCCTCCATTTGGAGGGTCATGTAGCCCTAACACTTTGCCCTACCCCTCCATCTCAACAAAAATCGGGACACCCTACCCCTAGGCGTGAACACTCAAAACAGAGGGCTAAAGGCTAAGTGGTAGGGCCAAAAGGTGAAATGGGTTTGGGCCTTAGTGTTGCCTCTTATTTTGACAGCGTTCACTTTGAATTTCCTGTATTGCTTGGGAGGAAAAAAAACCTTCTAATGTCTCACCAGATATTACTGTACACAGATCTTTTGTATTTAATGTTATTTCATTTGTTGAATGCAAGCCAACAAAGCTGCTGCTCCAGAGCCGGTGAAGGTGGAGGAGGTGAAGCCGGCGGTGCTGCTGTCAGACCCTCAGAGTGACGATGAAGGCGATGGGGGTGGCGCTCAGGGAGACATCCAGCCAGTGGGCCATGACTATGTGGAGGAGGTGAGAGATTTAGGAGATGCTCAGGCTGTTTCACAGGGGTTTGTTTTGAAGAAATTTAAAGGGCAGTTTATAATCCATCATTGGATGAGCTGTTGGCTGCAGCGGCAATTGAGATTGTTTGCTGGAGTGACATTTAGTTTATGTTTCGTATTACAAAGAATGACCGAAGAGGAGGACCGCAATGCTTTGGAATGACGTGACAAAATGGATCGCACACTCTTTTTCTGTGGCGCTGTCCAGCTGAGGTTTGCCATTGGAGAAGTCAACAACTTTCTCTAATGACAGACTAAAGTCATAGTGTTGTTACTCTAAACTGAATAAAGAAATTAAGAACTAAATAGTGGGAATGAAAACATTTACTGCTTTAAAGCTCTTTTTGAGGAAGACCTGTGTTTACAGTGACCGTCCAGTACCTAGTTTATCTAACCAGTCCTTAATCAAATGACATCAGGTGATGGAAATCCATGCTGTAGGTGGAGTGCAGCAAGAAGTCATGAGCCAAACGTAATCTAACTGTGTCCTTCTAACCTACATATTCATAACTTTACTCAAAGCAAAAAAACAATTGCTCCATTTATTGTATTATTTTGTGTTTATTGTAATGTTCTATGGTGTTTTTACAACCAAAAACACAAAATTGTCAGGAAAAAAAGGAAAGACTTTTACATAACACTGTGTAATCGGTTATAAGTATTGTCCTTTTAATTACGCTCAGAAAATTAGAAATCCATCAGAGTTTTTCTTAAAGGGCCCATATATTTTCATATATATGGGCCCTTTGCTTATAATAATTGTATCCTTTTAAGTACTAAAAATGATCATAAATCATTTTTAGATAACTTTTTTCCAACTTCTCTTTATCCCTTAGAATTTAACAGACTGTTTTTTGTCAATATGACTGTTATATGCCAATTTACTCTGTTCTGATTGGCTGCCCTGTACTGCATCTCATTCAAAAGGCACTCAGAGCTGAATCACACCTTATAACTTCAATGTGAATGGTCTGGGGTAATCTGCTGTAGGCTAAATTGATGTAAATGAGATCATCACAGAAACAGTTCATTCAAAACTGGCTGTTTTCACAGCGTGGTTTCCATAAATGGACTTAGTAGTGGAATGGTGTGTTTTGAAATGAAGTGTTTACACATAACTTCAACCTCCAATTTAAAAACAGCGAGGGAAATGTAGTTTTCCGTGACATGGGTCTTTTCAGTAAATGAAACTGCTCTTTCTCCCTGCCCTGTTTGTTTGTTTGTTTTGGGTTTATTTGTTTTGTTTTGTGTTTGTTTCCCCTCAGGTTCGTAACGATGACGGTAAGGTCATCCGTTTCCACTGTAAGCTGTGCGAGTGCAGCTTCAACGATCCAAACGCTAAAGACATGCACCTGAAGGGGCGCAGACACCGGCTTCAGTACAAGGTGAGACTCTTACTTCTGCTAAAACCTCTCGAGAAAGACCCTGCTGCAGAGGTTCCTAATCGAGACGGCATGTATATTTTCCGGTTTTGTATTGATTTGTGAGTTTTTAAAAATATCTTGAAAGGAGAAAGATGTTTCATGATTGGTGCAGCCATGAACGGAGTCATGTTTCAGTGCTAATGTAATTTGCATTATTACAACTTGAACTTACAAGTGCAAGTCCCAAAAAGTTGAGACAGTATGTGAAATGCCAATAAAAAACACAGTGATTGGTAAATTCTGTTTGACCTGTATTCAGTTGAAAAAACAGTATTTGTTGTTTTACCTTATGCACTGGTTTTGTTTTGAACTTGAGTTGTTTTTTGTTAATATACACTCATTCTAAATGTGATGTCTGCAACATATTCCAGAAAAGCTTGGACAGAAGAAATGTTGACCTCTGTGTTACGTCACCTTTCCTTTTAACAGCAGTTAATAATCGTGGGGGCGCTGAAGACACCAATTGATCCAGTTTTGAAAGCGGCCGTTTTTCAGTTATACGAGTCTTTAGGTGTGCAACCATACAGGGCCTTCATTGTCGTATTTTGCGCTTCAAAATGCACCACAAGTTTTCAGAAGGAAGCATGCAGGCTGGTTGAGTACTTGCATTCTCTTATTACGCAACCGTGCTGTTGTAATTTTGAACAGAAGTTGAAAAGATTATAGTTTTCCACAACATGCAGAAGCAGCATTGTCGCATTGAAATGGGCATTGATGTCCCTGAAAAAGACGATGTCTAAACAGCAGCATGTGTTGCTCCAAAATGTGTATACATCTCTGTGTTTATGATGTGTTCACAGGTGTGCACGTTACCCACTAACCCCACCCACACACACACACCCCCACACCCCCACACACACACCATGACAGACCTGACTGGTCCTTTGGCCTGGAGAACACAACATTCATTATTGCCATGAACAGTCTGAAAGGTTGACAATGCACGTTTCCAGTGTGCATCAGTCCACTTGAGATGAGCTTGAGCTCAGAAAAGCCTCCAGCGTTTCTGGACATTTGTTGACATATGACCTCTGCTGTGCATAGTTCAGTCTTAACTTGCATTTTTGGAGGCAGCGATGGACAGTATCGACTGACCACAGTTTGCCAACATTTTTCTGAGCCCATGTGTTGATATCCATTACAGAAGCAGGCCCGTTTTCATTATTATACTGTTATACTGTCTAAGGGGGACGAAGGTAACAGGCATTCAGTTCGGTTCAATTCAATTTTTGTCTTTTTTTCTGGATTCTCTGGATCTTTTGATGATAATGTGCACCGTAGAGGGTGAAATGCTTAATATCCTTGCAAACGCTGAACGAGGAACATTGTTCTTGAACAGCTGGATTTTTTGCCAAAGTGGTGAATCTCGCTCCGTCCTCGCTCATAAAGGACTCTGCCTTTCCTGTTTTCTGAACATTTCACAGCGTTCCTAGTCTTAAATTGCCTCTGTTCCAACCTTTTTTGAAACATCTTGCAGGCATCAGTATCAAAATGAGTGTATGTTTGCAAAAAACAATGAAGCTCATAAGGTAAAACATTCATTTTCTTGTCTTTGTACTGTTTTTTGTTTAGGTTGAAGTGGATTTATGAATCACTGCTTTCTGTTTTTATTTGCATTTTACTGTCCCTTTTTTGGGATTGGGCACTCTGAGTCTACAAACTAATGACACAATGGGTTGTCCGTAGTCTGTGTAATTGTTGTAATTAGGAAAGCTAGATTGGAAATCAGTGACAGCTTCAGCTGTATTCACATTTTGGTTATTGGATTTTTTTCCGAAAGTAATAAATATGTGTCACTAATATACCTCATAATAATGAACTTGCGTAACTGACATTTAAGTGCTGATTATTTAGTGAAAACAAAATAAAGATTAAAATTTCTTCAGCAAACAGACACAGGTTTGGCTCCTTCACACTCTGTAGTATTATTGCTGCCATTGGGGTTTTATGTGAGTGTGTGCTAAAGTGATCTCGCTGTTTCCTTTCTGTCTTTTCATTTCTTTGCAGAAAAAAGTTAACCCAGACCTGCTGGTGGAAATCAAACCAAGTAACCGTGCACGGAAGCTTCTGGAAGGCAAGCTGAGGAAGCAGAAGCAGAAAGCTGTGCTAAAGAGACAGCAGGAGGACGAGCATCGCTGGCACATGGAGATGAGGTCAGGATTAAGCCTCTGCTTCTTGAGATGAGTTAGCAGAATGTAGAAGCACTTATTTAGTGTGTGTAATTACTCACTGGCCACTTTATTAGAAACTCCTCTCTTGTAGCTCCACCTTGCTGGTGTAGAGTTAGAAATTGTAGGCCACCTATTGATGTACAGTTTGGGTTAGTCCTTCATCAGTGGTCACTTACATATGTGAAAACCTCAGCAACGCCACTGTGTCTGATACAAACACTATTACTATCACTGCTGTGCTATGTGAACTCCTTACAACCACCTGGAGGACACAAACTGTCCCCATCAGATAAACAGCACTTAAAGCTTTCATCTTTGAGAGAGAGGAGAAAATCAAGCTACTTCAGATCTGAAAACATCCACAGGTGTTTCTGTCCATCCTTCCACTGTGAGAAGACGACTCAGCGCTGTGGGTCTGAAAGGATGTGTAGCTGTCAGGAAGAACCTCACTGAGAAAAGGAGACGGAAACATCAAACAAAGAAGCTGAACAATGGACTGACCACCCCCGAGTCCAGACCTCAACATCACTGAATGTGTTTGATTATTTAAAAGATCAGCCAACTTCTCAGACCGAACTTCAGAGGTGTGCAAAAATATGCCCATGGATTTCTTTGAAAAATTTAATGCGGGTCTCCTAAGAGTGGAAGCTAAGAAAGGCAAAGAGTGGACACACTAAATACTAAACTATTTTAATATTTGGTTGTTGAAGCTTCTGTGTAATTTTCTGTCAAATCGATGGTTTCTATTTTTCCTGATGCTGAAAAAGTAATAACTTTCATTAAATGAAAAACCTAACTGCATTAAATAAATGAGGAGTGGTCTTTATGTAATATGGAACGCTACACCAACCAAAATACTATACAGTGCAAGTATATTTATTAATGTTATGACTTTGGTTGAGATAATCTGAGATCACAGCAGAGACTGCAGAAATGCTCCCCTCACATCATAAAATCATTCATTGCTCTAATGCAGTGCTTACCAGTTGTGCGGTTTATTGTATTTCCTGCTCTATTCGCCTGATTCAAATGCTTAGCTAGTCAGTAGACCCTAAACCATTTGTGCAGTGCAGGAGGTGCTGAAATACACACACTCAAATGACATTGACTCTGAAATGTTTATTAAAATGATGCCTCTTGTAGGAGATATGAGGAGGACATGTACTGGAGGAAGGCAGAGGAGGAGCATTTGTACTGGGGAGATCAAAGGCGCAGAATGGCGCCTCCACCCCTCATGAGTCGGCCCGGAATGCCTGTGCCCCCTCTACTGGTAAGAGCAAGCATTGTGTCTTGCCACATTTAAAGCATCCCTTAAAGCAAGAGTGCACAACTCTGGTCCTGGAGGGCTGGAGTCCAGCACAGTTCGGAGGGTTCTCTTCTCAAACACACCCACTTAACCTGGCAATTAACACAAGTGTAATCAGGTGTGTTACAGCAGGTAAATCACCAAAATGTGCAGGACACCGGCCCTCCAGGACTGGAATTGTACGCCCCTGCCTTAAATGCTTGCTTGCTGATTGTTTCCCACCGAATGCCAGATCTCTTTAACGTTATGCAGATATAACATAAGTTCGGTTGGCACTGATAGCTGTTGTTTTTAGAGGTGCTGTTTTTCTCTTCTTGCTTTCTTGTTCGCCACAAGGGCTGCCCACAAACCACAGGCTGCGAATCTGAGGTTACAAGCAGATGCGAAGTAACAAATAAGCGAGTAATTGATCATTCCAAGCTACCTCTACAGATCACATTCATCTTGTGAGGAGCAATTAATGAACTTGTGTCATGACTTAAATGTACATTTATATGACTCTGAAGCTGCTGACTGATGTTGACAGATCTTTCACGCTCTACTGAGACCCATAAAAACATGTTTGGCGTGTCATGTACACACACACACACACACACACACACACACTAAGGGGTCTAAAACAACCGGCAAGCTTCATACGGCCAGAGAACACAGTTCCACTGCTCCACAGCCCAATGCTGGGGGGCTCTATACCCCTCAAGCCCACGCTTGGCCTTGGGTACGATGACCTTAGGCTCAAGTACGGCTGCCTCAAAGCACCTCATTCCATTGGTCAGTGCCAGTGCTCTTCCATGGAGATTATACAAGCCATGCATGTGTAGTTGAAATCTCATGTTCTGCTCATTTGTTTCTTCTTGCTCTCAAACACCTTCCTCAGCTCTTAAAGGTGATAACTTGGCTCGGGTGTTGCAGAGGGGGTACAAACGTCAAGCTGCATTACAGGGGTGTGTTTTATAAAGCAGGATTTCTCAGTTAGCCAAATTTATCCCCAATTTTGACCTCGGTTCTGTGGCTAAATGAAAGAGCCTGCTTTGTGAAATAGTCCCAGAGCAATGATGGAAAATGCTAGGCTGGCTACACATACTCCATTTCCTTTCCCTGCAGCCTGTTCGACGGCCTGATTCCCCTGATGACCGCCACATCATGGCCAAACATGCCACTATTTACCCGGTGGAGGATGAGCTGCAGGCTGTGCAGCGGATCGTCTCACACTCGGAGAGAGCCCTCAAGCTGGTCTCTGACTCGCTGCTGGAGCAAGAGGCCACCACACAAGGCAAAGACACAGTGGACAAGCAGTGAGTCACTGCATTATGTCTGTTCTCTAAGGTTCTCTAATGGTTTGTAAATGGGGGTATCCAGTAGGGCTGCAATGATGAGTCAGCGAAGTTTATTAGTCATCACTGAGTTGTACCGTTGATTAATGGATAAAAGTTGATGCACCCATGAGTTGTTTACTTGAAACTTCTTCGGAAAAGAAGAAATAGCTTGTGGGATAGACAGCATTTTGAGAAATGATTGCCGTGCTCTGATGGGGCACCGTGACAGGAAATGGAAGAAAGCATGATGGTTAGAGAAGTCGTTTAATCAAATATAGATAGAATAATAAAATAATCATTAGTTGCAGCCCTAATGTCCATCATTTACCCTGCAATTTTGTTCCTAACCTAACACCTCATATAGGTAATAGGTAATATTTCTTTGCACCTTAATATTAACGGCAGATGCAGTGCATTAATTTGGAACTACATGCAGAAAATCAGATTTCGTTAGATGATGAATTCATCTAGAAGATGAATATTTAAATCCTTCATTTCGTCAAACGTCGTTGGTTTCAACGTCGCTCCAAAAGTGTTTTGCTGCGTCTCGCAGCGACACTGCTCACTTGTTTCCGGTACCCCCGTCTGTTTTCACACATGCGCAGACTGAGATATTCGAAAGAAATCAGTAAGAGTTTTCATGCACTGAGAAATCTGATTACTGAGCTAAAATCCAGCTCTCTTTATCAAATTTATTTGGATTTCTAGACCTTACTCCAATCTAAGAAATTTTGCATGATCATTTGAATAGATAACTGCAGAAATTCGATTTATGATCAGATTGTTGAGTGCATGTAAAGTCATTGTTGTCTTTTTTTCGCACAGAAAAAGTAACCATGGTTTTTTGTTTGTGGAGCAGGTTGGACCCTCAGGGCCGTGTGCTGAAGGGAGTGATGCGAGTGGGGATACTGGCCAAAGGCCTGCTGCTGCACGGAGACAGGAATGTTGAGCTCATCCTGCTAGCTGCCAAAAAACCCACCGTTTCCCTGCTGAACAGCATCGCCGAGCAGCTTCCCAAACAACTGACAGTAAGACATCAGCCCACTTCTTCTTTTTATGTGTCTTTCTCTGTTGAGGTGGTGAAATATTGACTACTGCAAAAGTAAATGTTTACCAGACAGCATTCAGATTCAGTAATTAAGAATTCAGAATTTAGTAATTAAGATAAGGGCTGTGAAAAAGCTGCCATATCAGTATTGCTGTTGCATAGACGACGGCTTCGCTTCTTAAGGCAAAAGGCAGTTGTGGCACTATTTCAGCACAATATGTAAGAATAAGTTGGTCAGTTTTACCATCATCCTGAGTTACAGAGCTTTGAGGACATAACATGATTTTGAAACATTACTATTAAAACTCTGTTTTAGAAATGCTCAAATGTTTCAAATACACTTGTGATTAATATATATGGTGGTGTAACACTAATTGTAAGCTTCAGTATATCAGCTTCATGTCTGTCCTCCATAATGACACATAATCTTAGTGAATTGCTGGTGGTCCTGTGTTATATTTAGGGCTGTCACCATCAATTATATTGGTAATCGACTTGTGATGACTATTTTAATAATAAACTGAGTAACCTTTTTTTTTTTTTTCCTCCAAAAACTCTTTGGACCCCAACAAAACTCTAGAACACTTTTTGGCCATGTGCAGACTGCAGGTAAAAATGGACCAAATCTGACTTGCTGCCCAAATCCGATTTTGTTGTTTGGTCGTTCACATGAGCTTTTAATGTGGCCTATCTGACATCAGTCTAAACAGATCAAGCGGTGTGATCACACCACCTTACTGCCATCGCTCCTACCACATCCATGTCAGAGTATATCACATTATTCAGACACCAGTGGCAGACATTTGGATTCCTCTATTCTAGACAGATCAGGCATAACATTATGAGCACCTCCTTGTTTCTGCGCTCATTGTCCATTTGATCAGCTCCACTTACTATATAGGTGCACTTTGTAGTTCTACAGTTACAGACTGTAGTCCATCTGTTTCTCTGCATACTTTGTTAGCCCCCTTTTACCCTGTTCTTCAGTGGTCAGGACCCCCATGGACCCTCACAGAGCAGGTACTATTTGAGTGGTGGGTCATTCTCAGCGCTGCAGTAACACTGACGTGGTGGTGGTGTGTTAGTGTGTGTTGCGCTGGTCTGAGTGGATCAGACACAGCAGTGCTGCTGTTGGCTGGATATTTCTGAGGTATTTAAAAACTCCAGCAGCACTGCTGTGTCTGATCCACTCAGACCAGCACAACACACACTAACACACCACCACCACATCTGTGTTACTGAGGTGCTGAGCAAGATTCACCACCCGAATAGTACCTGCTCTGTGAGGGTCCATGGGGGTCCTGACCACTGAAGAACAGGGTAAAAGGAGGCTAACAAAGTATCAGAGAAACAGATGGACTACAGTCTGTAACTGTAGAACTACAAAGTGCACCTATATAGTAAGTGGAGCTGATCAAATGGACAATGAGCGCAGAAACAAGGAGGTGCTCATAATGTTATGCCTGATTGGTGTATCTTAGTAGTTGAAAGGTGGAAGAACTGCAATATATCTGGCGCTCGCTGTGTAAATGCATTAACTGCAGTGTGATTTTCTTGCACCAGACAAACAGAGTCCTCCTTTTAGGTACGTTTAAACTGAAATCAGTGCTATTTTGTCTTGTTTGATCTACAATAACATCAGTTCGCTGTGTTGTGTGAGTGACAGAGCACTGCTTCAAGTTAGCCTTCTGCTAAAAACAGCTAGACTGGGAAGCTAACGTTCTCACACTCTCCAGTGCCACACAAACTTCAGTTTACTTTCGTTTAAATGAAGGATATAACTCACATGAACCCACTTCTGTCTTTCACTTTTGTTGCTTGGGAATGCACTTGTACTAAAATATGACTGAGCGCTGTAACAGTGCTGTAGTTGTGAGGAACAGACGTGATTTAACGCTGATAAAGCTCGTTAGGCAAGGAGTTCGCTGTAGAACAGTATAGCTACGCCACTTGTCATTCACACTTGGTCACAGAAGAACAGATCACCGATCGCTCCACTCAAACAGGGAATGCATAAATCCACGTTTCAGACGTTGCCAAAGTATATTTGCCGACTCATTTTACTCGTCGCCCCCCTCCCTCTCTAATCAGTAGAAAAACTCTGAAGTGCGCCCTCTTATGGTGACTGCAGAGTAGTGTCGCTGTCCTGGCAGTAGAAAACGGCACCAGGGCTGTCGCTAGAACGTGGAAGTGTGAGAATGCTCTATTATATCGAACATTTATCGAACATTTCTTATAGTTCTATCGAGGAAAGTTATATCGCGATAATTATCGTTATCGTTTTATCGCCCAGCCCTGCTTGAGGCTACATCAGATTGAGCTGTGCAAGCTTATAGAGCAAACGGTATACACTAAAATCATTGAAAGTTTCCAGAAAAGAGTAATAAATTATGAATTTCTGTGCTTGTTTCAATTGTTGAAGCTGATCAAGGAATGAAGCTTAGTGTCTTCTGCTGTGAAGAAGAATGCTGGCAAACTCTGGATAAAGGCAACTGACCCAGGAGAATCTCCTTTGCTTCAAATGTCCTTAAAGTAAACATTGAATAGCAGTTAGTTTGACTTCTTTCACCTTGCTTATTCCTTTACACCGCACACGCTTGTCTTGTTCCACCTAAATGAAAAACATAACTGCCGTTTTGATGATGTTGCTGTAAGGTGTCCCCGCACACGGAAAATTATGATGATTGAGTTGAATTGGCGTAAAAGTCACATGAATTCTGGTCCAGCGGTTCAGACGGAGGTCAGTCTGCTGTGTATCGAAAACATCTTGGGTTTCAGTACCACATAAGAAAGAGGCCAAATCAAATGAAAACTGTCAGGTTCAGTGTGTTTTTTGCTGTTCAAACAATCACCCAAAAAACTAATTTGTGCCACGTATGAAGAAATAGATCAGATTTGGGCCACTTTTACCTGCAGTGTAAACGTAGCATTAGAGGCTTATTAATTATTGTTTTAATTAACTATATTATTGGAAATACATAATAAAAATGAGAATTCCTATACATAAAGAACAGTGATATGAAATGAGCTGTCTATAAGAACTAAAAGTGTTCACAATCATTTCCTAGTGATTACACTACAAAAATGGGCTATAAAAATCTAACCGAGATTGATGTATGCCTACCGAAGTTATTTCCCACGCAATGGAACATGAACTTGACTGTGTATTCAGTAAACCAGCTAAGACACATGGCTTAGCTGAATCTTTAAAAATGTGTGTTTACTTCTATATCACTGCTTTCTTGTTAAGTAATTTTGCCCCCATATGTGATAAACAGCTGATCAGAACTTTTGAGTGCTAATAGTGCCTCCTTGTGAGAACGTTCGGACTGCTGAGCACAGCTTTTTAATGCCTTGCAAATACCATATTAATCACAAAGCCGATAAATCGATAGCAGACATTTTAATCTGTACATTTTTTATCAGTTATAATTTGAATAATTGTGACAGCCGTCATTTTATTTTTTAAGGCCCAAACACTTTGTAAATGCATACTACGGTGCGTGTGAGTACTTTTCTGGGCAGTGTGGTTAATAGAAAAGATTAGTGTTACTAAGGAAGAAGCTCATAAGGTCACCTGGGTTTATTTAAAAAAAAAAAGTAGGTGTATGTTAAGTCATAGAATTAGGAAGTCATTCTCTTCTCCAAGTGAGTCAGGCTGATTTGTGTGAGCTGCAGTTTGTGGCGGCGTCATGAGCCTAAAATAATTGCACACCACTGATTTGTGTCATATGATGGGAGATTCAGGCCGAGGGTGGAAATTAATTGGGTGGTGGTGGTGGTGGTGGGTGGTTCTGATGAAAAAAAATGACGATTTGTTGTAATGGTGATGAAACCGGAAACGTATTTAACTATTTCGTTTTTCTTCTGCTTTCCTGAGAAATGTAGCATGTTGTTGTCATCACAGATTGCATTAGGTTTTCCTCGGGTGTCTTGCATACTTCTGAAAAATGTGGTTTTGAGAATATTTTGAAGTTGGAATGTCCCACCGAAGGGCAGACGCTTCCACATTTAGAAGAAGTGTGGCATTTTTTTTTCATGCACCTTTTTTCCACAGATTGGTGTTATTGTTTTCATTCTATTTGGACTTACAGTACACATCCAAAGAAATATAAGTACTGGTTGTGCCTCTTGGCCTGAATGGTGTGTAAAATGCTTTTTAACTGATCTTTAGTTCCCCTGCCTGGTTACGACACCTGACCCCTACAGAGAGAGCCCGGGGCATTTATGGTCATTTGTAACACATAGAAATAAAAGGCCAAAAAATACAAGCAAAATCCCACTCTGAATATATAGAAGCAATACTAACTATTCTTAGAGGCTACAGCCTTAATATAATCATATAATTGGGGACCCCTCTGTCTCCCTCATAGCCCCCCACCACTGCCCGGCTGTCTCCTCTGTAGTGAGTAATGCAGTGTCCTTTTAACCGGCAGACCTTTTCTGAAGATCAGTATGTGGTGCAGGCTCACCCTGAAGAAGCCAACATCGTCATTATTTCCAGCAAGGAACCAAAAATGCAGGTCACCATCTCTCTCACTTCGCCAGTGATGCGGGAAGACCCTGCCCCGAGCCCGGAGGAGCAGGCAGGCCACAAGCTGCCTGAGAAAGGTTAGAGAACCTATGCTTTCAGTCTACTGCACTGTATGTCTCCTTTAAAAAATAAATAAAAAATAATAATAATCCAAGGTAAATTCGGCTCCAGCTTAGTCTGTCTTTTAGCTTTATAGTCTTATTTGCCGTCTGTGGGGCTGATAATAAACAGCCTGGCCAGTTCACTTTTAGTTTCCCAGTCTGTACTGCTTTTCTAAAGCAGTTTGGTGGAACCTAAAGCCGGATCTCTGACCTTTCTGTAACTCTGAGTTTGATGATGACTTTGATGCATTATGTATGAAAAAACCCTGTGACTCGCAGACAGATGAGAGAGCGCCGTTCCTCCTCATATTGTTAGGTGTGCTTCTCTATTCAGCAAACCTTTGCAAACTTTTCACCTGCAAGAACAGAAAGGTGACTGTGGTTACATGCACAGACATAGTGAGCTTTTTATAAATGTGATATGCCTCATGAACCAGGCTTAAAAATAGAGATGTGTTCTGACTAGTTTTGATAGTCGAGTGTCTGTAAGAATTCATGCCTGGATGTCTGGTAAACCATGAATAAGGGAAAAAAATTAATCAGATTTTGGCTGAAATTAATGTAGCCTTTTTTAGGTGGTAGCACTGGTATTGCACAAAAATGTAGCATTGCACAGAGGAATACATTTTCACATTTCATGTTTTGCTGTTGAAAAATAGGCAAGAAAAACCTGTAGTTTTCGTGTTGGATGAGTAGCATAACATAGGTTGCCTCAGATGAGGTAATGAGCTTAAACAGCAGCTAACTGGTAATGCTGGATGCTGATGACTCGTCTTCTGCAGCTGCTTCTTCTCCTCTTCAGTGGACGATGTGCCAACATTTTAGTTTGTCTGAGAAATACATTTTAAATGTTTGCGGATCAGTCTAGCTTTTTTACCGATAAATGCTGCGCTATCTTTACCTCCTTGGTCACGTCCTGAACAAGGCATCCTTAGCAACATGCTTACATTCAGGCACTCGAGTTTCGGAGTAGCAAAGCAGAACGTTCTTGTTTAATAGTGCTTTTAAAACATAAAATTGTTGGTCTGTGTGTTTTCTCAGTCTCTCTTTGATGAAATACAGGAAATACCTGATTAATGATATCAGTATTTGAATACCTGCACCGAGTACTTGGAGTACCGATGCACATCCCTACTTCGAAAGCCAAATTTACACCAGATACAGTAACCATGTTGCTTGACTTGCCATTTGACTTGACTTGCTTATACAAAATATGTCACATGAGTGCGATAGACCTTTGTGTGTATCTCCATTCAAATATTTTGTCCAAGTGCTCATGGAATTTGTAGTCACTTATTGATAGTCAGTAATTCGCTATTCTGACTGCATGGTGTGTCTTTACGACTGCTCTTGGCTTAGTCATGTGAACTGTGATGCAGGTTAATGTCTAGTGTTTACATTAGTTGTATTCCATCAGCTAATATTAACACTAGAGAACAAATCCAGATGTTTTTAAACATAAGGTTTAAAACCCATGGTTTGCAAATGTTGTTTAGTTTGGGGCTGTAATATTAAAAGCCAATACATATTGAAGAGTTTACTGTTTGCCTGCTGAAACGCGTCTCTGGATATGGAGGCACAAAATCTTTAGCCTGTTATGTAAAATTAACTGATTAAATTAAAAACACAAATAACAATGAGCCTTAGCTTTAGGTAACTAATTTGTTTCTTGTTTAGAATTTGGAGTCCTATCATGCGTGCATTACTGCTGGTGTGGATTTCCTTGCATGCAAAGAGTAAAAAAAAACAAACAAACAAAAAAAAGTCTAATAGCAGCCCTTGTTGTAAACCTGAATTGTTGTGGATAAAATGAATTATATGTATATTTCACAACATGTAAATTCAAAATACAAAACTTTTACTTGCTGCTTCTGTTTTTTTCCACAGCTACAATGGCCATTTGTTACACGTGTTGAGATCTACACATTTTTATCTTCAAAAAAAAAATGAACTTGTGCTACACTTGCAAGTGTCAGCACTACATGTGTGTACACCAATCAGGCATAACATTATGACCACTTCCTTGTTTCTATGCTCATTGTCCATTTTATCAGCTCCACTTACTGTATAGGTGCACTTTGTAGTTCTATAATTACAGACTGTAGTCCATCTGTTTCTCTGATACTTTGTTAGCCCTCTTTTACCTTGTTCTTCAGTGGTCAGGACCCCCATGGACCCTCACAGAGCAGGTACTATTTGAGTGGTGGGTCATTCTAAGCACTGCAGTAACACTGACGTGGTGGTGGTGTGTTAGTGTATGTTGCGCTGGTCTGAGTGGATCAGACACAGCAGTGCTGCTGTTGGCTGGACATTTTTGGTTGGTGGACTATTCTCAGTCCAGCAGTGACACTGAGGTGTTTAAAAACTCCAGCAGCACTGCTGTGTCTTTATAAAGATATGTGTGTTTATAAACACCTCAGTGTCACTGCTGGACTGAGAATAGTCCACCAACCAAAAATGTCCAGCCAACAGCGCCCTGTGGGCAGCATCCTGTGACCACTGATGAAGGACTAGAGGATGACCAACACAGACTGCAGCAGTGAGCTATCGTCTCTGACTTTACATCTACAAGGTGGACCGACAAGGTAGGAGTGTCTAATAGAGTGGACAGTGAGTGGACACAGTGGTTTAAAAACTCCAGCAGCACTGCTGTGTCTGATCCACTCAGACCAGCGCAACACACACTAACACACCACCACCACGTCAGTGTTACTGCAGTGCTGAGAATGATCCACCACCCAAATAGTACCTGCTCTGTGAGGGTCCATGGGGGTCCTGACCACTGAAGAACAGGGTAAAAGGGGGCTAACAAAGTATGCAGAGAAACAGATGGACTACAGTCTGTAACTGTAGAACTACAAAGTGCACCTATATAGTAAGTGGAGCTGATAAAATGGACAGTGAGCGTAGAAACAAAGAGGTGGTCATAACATGCCTGATTGGTGTACATGCCGGATATAGAATAGAATATAGATATAGAAAAGCAGAAGCATAAACACTAGACACATACATCACATATTTAGAAATTTACATATTTTTATTTTTTTTATTAACTGACTCATGTAGACTCAGAAGGTTACCAGTATTAGATATATTATATGTGAACACATCAACTAAATTGTTGCAAAATTCTTTTTTTTTTGCAGATTATTTTGTGCATGCAAATATACTCATTGTCTGTCTTTCTTGGGAAGAGTTAAAGTCCTATGTTTGATTTGTTATTTAAATGAGCCCTGGCTGTTTTGACCAAACAATTATTGGTTGTGAGGTTGTTTGGGAGCTATTTGAGTACATCCAGTGGCTTCTAGCTGGTGCAGATGAAACACAATTAAAGGGAAATTCGACTACGTCAGTCGATGAGATGTAAACAGTCAGTGGTTTGAAATGAAATACTCTGGCAAGTTTCTTGTTGGTAAGTTGGCCAGTTCCTTGTTGGGAAGTTTCGCTAGAACATTTTATTTACTATCCAAAATCACCAGTGAACCTACATGGGTCTTAAGTTTTTACATGTAATGATAGTAAGTGTAAATTCTAAAGACACTGAAATATGAAAACTTTCTCTAGACTTTCATTTGTAACCATTTCATGAAATAAATTTCTGTGAGGGAGCTTTTAGAGGTGGACGTCTGGTTCATATCACTACCACTGTGAACAGTTTTGACTTGGTACGTTTCACTTGAACAGAGCGTTTCACACCAAACCACTCTGAATGATTCTGTTTACATCTTAAACTAGCACAGCTCATAATCAACACTTTACGTTCTTAGAATAAGAAAAATGCCTTTAGACGGTGTCCTTTTCTCTTTGAGTTTGTAGTCAGTCAACGTTGCATCAGGAAACCTAGCAGTTCTCTAAGGCTATGATTTTTTTTTTATTTATTTTTTTTTTTTCTTTCAGTGTAATCTTTGCATGACTCGTTCTACCACCATTTTTTAGGAACCTGGAAATGTGGAAAGCACCCCGCCCCACGTGGTGTTATGAAATTTTCATGTTGTCGCTCTGCTTGGTTGCTCTGTAAATAGTACCACTACATACTACCAATTTCCCCTTTTGTATTTTTATACAGAATTATTCTTCAGCATAGTTTTTTCATATAATATGTGTGTGTTTTTTTTTTTCTTTACTGGGTGATATAAATCTGTAACCGTGCATCTCCTTTTGTCTCCTTCCAGTGCCTGAAAAGGAGCCTCCAGATGTTCTAAACAAGACAAAGTGCCTCGAGTATTTGGCTGCCCTTCGTCATGCCAAATGGTTTCAGGTAAATGCTACATGATAATATCAGGAAGTGCTACATGATGTCTCTATGTGAAGATTTTCTGTAACAGCTAACATATCAGTGAATTGGTAAAGTTAAAACCCTTCAAGCAAAATTTCAAAAAGTTAAAGTGATTCATCAACCAACATGCGTCAGTGTTGCTTTTGTGTCCCGAACAGTCTACACTCATACCTAGTTTATCAAAATACAAAAGAAAGTTGTTTACATGAACGTTTTGAGATCTTTTTTTTTTTTTTTCTTTTTGTTCACATTTTACCCAGACCAGTGCATGCTAACCACTGTTTGCATGACATCTTCTTTTAACAACACTCTGGAAGCATTTGGGAACTGAGGAGACAAATTGCTGTAGTTTTGAAAATTAAACATTTCCTGTTCTTGCTTGATGGCAGCGTATGTTGCTCCAAAACCTGTATATGTCATTCAGTATTAATGATGCCTTCACAGATGTGAAAGTCACCCATGATATGTGCACTAATGCACCTCCATACCATCACCGATGCTGGCTTTTAAACTGTGTGCTGATAGCAAGGTCCCTCTCCTCTTTAGCTGGGACCATGCAGTGTCCATGATTTCCAAAAAAATGTCTAATTTTGATTTGTCGGACCACAGGACATTTTTCCACTTCACCTCAGTCCATCTTAAATGAGCTCGGGCCCAGAGAAAGTGGTGGTGTTTCTGGATACTGTTTATATGGTTTCTTGTTTGCATGGTAGAGTTTTAACTTGCTTTTGTGGATGCAGCGACGAACTGTGTTCACACACAGTGGTTTTTGGAAGTGTTACTGAGCCCATGCAGTGATTTTCATCAGATTTTCTGAGTCTTTTAATGATATTATGTACCGTAGATGACGATAATCCCAAAGTTCTTTGCTATTTTACGTTGAGAAACGTTATTCTTGAATTGTTTCACTTTTTGCCCATGCCGTCTTTCATAGAGTGGTGAATCTTTACTTCTGAAAGACTCAGCCTCTCTGGGATGCTCTTTTTAGGCTCAGTCATGTTACTGGCCTGTTGCTAATTAACCTAATTAGTTGTAAGATGTTCCACCAGTTGTTCTTTAGCATTACACAACTTTTCCAGTCTTTTGTTGTCCCTGTGCAAATTTTTTTGAAACATGTTGCTCAAATTCAAAATGGGCATATATTTTTCAAAAAGCAGTAAAATTTGATGTTGTACTGTTTTAAATTAAATGTAAGGTTAAACTATTTTGCACAGTTAAAATATTTCGCATTTTATTTTTTTTTTTAATTAAAAAGTGATGGGGCATCCGAAAACAAGTCGTTGTTAACCTACAAAAATAGGTCTACCTAAGCAAGTAAAATGATCTTATGTGCTATATATATATATATATATATATATATATATATATATATATATATATATATGTGTTTGCGTGTGTGTGTGTGTGTGTTGAAATAGTCTGGAATTTTAATTGTACCATGATAGTTTTGGCCGTACCACCCACTTCTAACCACCCTCTCCTTTTCCTTTTATGACATGCCACAATGATTTAAACCATGAAAGTTAATTCAGGCTCATCTTGCTCACAAGCTTCTGAGCTTGTTTTGTATGTATAAAGTCATACTGGGTTTGGTCTGCAGGCTCGTGCCAATGGTCTCCAGTCCTGTGTGATCATCATCCGCGTGCTCCGAGACCTCTGTCAGCGTGTGCCCACCTGGGGGAAGATGCCAGCCTGGGTCAGAACATGACCTTTATTCCACTTGTTTGCTCCTCAGGCTTTGATTCAGTTCTACTTTCACGTCTATCTGTAACACAAGTTAGAGTGACAGCTTTGCTATTGCTTATTCTGAAAATGCTGTTGGTGTGGTTGATGTTCACAGGCCACAGAGCTGCTGGTGGAGAAAGCCATCAGCAGTGCGTCTGGTCCTCTGAGTCCAGGAGAGGCCATGCGGAGAGTTCTGGAGTGCATAGCTAGTGGAATCCTCCTGCAAGGTGCAAAATCTTTATTTAACTTCCAGAGTAGTTGATGACGCTAGCAAAAGAAGCAAGCTAGCAAAATGCTATTGTTGGCTAACAAAACTTTTTTCTTTAAAGAAGTGTTGCTTATTTTTACTGCATGTAATGTAATTGAATGTAATTTTTTGGAGGACTTTTTAGCAATGCTAACGTATGTTATCCATCGACAGGCTTGTAGTCTGTCAGACAGTGTTGACGAGTGCACCATCTCCCCCTACTGTGACCTCTGCCTTCAAAAGCCATGGGTTTTGTTTAGAAAGAAATTTCACGCTCAGTTTGTTCCGCCCTGATGAGTCTACATTCCTGCCCACATTCAGCCCAAAATTTCTCATGGTTGTCTGCACATGTTCTAATTATAAGATCACATCTGGTCCTGTGACCAGGTGCAAAACAGCTTTGGAGGTTTAAAAAGCCAGATAATAGTAGGGCTGAAACTGCTGTTTATTTAAGCAATAGAACATGAGAGGGAGTGTGTTATTGCGAAATAACATCACGGCTGTGATTTGGTCGCGATAACACACAACCTCGAGTGTTCTACTGCTTTTATACAACAGTTAAATAAATAAAGTAAACTGGGTCGTGAACGCAGCATCTATTGTGTAATGTTCGCAGTTCCTTCCACCAAATTATAGTTCCTTAACAAGCAGCTTGTTGCTACGTCAGAGTAACGAACACTGCTCACTCGCTGCACAGTCTGCTGTAAGCCTCGCCTTTTGAAGTACAGACTGAGCCATAAAACTGCCGCAATATCAAGTTTAGCTCAGTTTTGTCAGTTTTTGCCAGATCAGTATTAATGTTGTTTTGTTCCAGCCAGTCTGTAAAGCATCTTACAACCCATTTAGTTTGGCGAATGGTGTTGGGTTCATTTCTGGCTGATTCCAGGTTGTTTAGCTGTTCTTCTGTCACAGCTGCCGACTGAAAAGCTGCTCAGTGGTGATGACAGTTTGGGACTTTAGTGTCGTCTCATCTTCAGAGTCTGACCAAATCGGCTGTCGGTCAAATGTGATCTTAAAAGTATCCGTTTTCTGTTTGTGGCAAAGTAAGAAGTAAAAACGTTCAAATGTCTTCTTGAGCGTCTCCTACAGCTGTCAGAGTCGTTGCTTATCAACAGCGTCTCAGCGGAGTGATACAGTGTTTGTGAAAAAACTGTGATGTTATGGCAAAATAACAGCACAGTTAGAACGCTTCTCAACCAATCAGCTTGCGTGGCCGGAACTAACTGTTGTATCATTCTATAATCTTTCAGTTGACAAACAATCTATTTTATGGTGCTGTGAAACAACATAAGCCAAATCACCCCCTGTGCTCCCTGTGATGTGTCTTCAAGAATGACCAGGGGTGGATCTTAAAAATCGAATCGATGCGTCTTCGATTGCTCTCTCCCACATTCACCTGGAAATCAATCAGAGCCGGTCATCTTTGAGGATGTTTTAGTCCTTTAAATGCACTCTGAGGAATCGAGTAGAGAGGAGGCTTCTAGAGCGAGGATACATAAGTGCATCTGACACAGAAGGCTTTTCGTTATCGTAGCACATGACCTGGGCCAGCGGTATAATTTCTCCACCCTTTTTTTTCATTGGATGACTTTAGTTAATGGGATGGTAGATTGAAAGAATGATGAAACTTTATGAAGATTACTTAATAAATCCTTTGCCACTAAAGCAGCAGATCTACACAACCTTTTGCAGCAAACTACTAAATAAACTCAGGAATGCTAAAAACCAATACTACCTACACATATTCCATACAAACCATAATGATATGAAAAGCGCATGGAGCACCATCATTGAACATATAAACAAGGGTAACCATTCTAGTCCAACCACTGAATTCAAACGCGACAACAACCAAAGTTTTACCAACCCATTGGATATTGCTAATGCATTTAATAACTTTTTTGTCAGTAGTGGGCCTTCGTTAGCTGCCAGCTTTATCAACCAGTCTTTAACCTCTGGTATATTTCCTGACCGGTTTAAACGGGCCGAAGAAATCATAATTCACAAATCAGATAATCTGTCCATATTCTCCAATCACAGGCCAATCTCTATCCTTCCTTGTCTTTCTAAAGGTTTTGAAAAAATAGTCTATAACCAACTTATGGCTCACCTAAAAAAAACTAATGGCACTTGACAGTAATGAAATAACCATAGAAGTCTTCATAGATTTATCCAAAGCATTCCGTACAGTTAACCATAACATACTATTACAGAAACTTCATTACTATGGCATCTGCAACACAGAGTTAGATTGGTTCAGAGGTTACTTGTCATTTTGTGTGTCAAAATTCCATCTCTGATCCAAAGACTATTTAATGTAGAGTTCCTCAAGGGTCAATACTGGGACCTTTACTGATTTCAATCTATGTGAATGACCTTTATCTGTCTGTTAAATATATTTACTTGTATCCTGCACTTATGTTCTTTTTTTTTTTTCTTTATCGTTTCACATTTCTTTCACAACTTGTTATTTCAAGATAACAATTTCATCTTGAGAAGATAAATAATTTGTTATCTCAAGGTAACAGCATCATTATCTCAAGATCACAAGATAATTAACTGGTCTTAAGATAACAAATTTTGTTTTTTTAATTGTTAAAAACGTACTTTTTCAAAACTCCTGGGGCCAGATTCATAAAAGTGTCCCAAGAAAGAAAATCTTCTTAATGTTAAAAAGCATCTAAATGTTAGTTAATTAAACTGGGAAAGTACCTAGTACAAGCCCTTTGGGCTTTTTTGAACTTTCACTGCACTGTTTTGTTTTTTGTATCCTAATCCTCACTGGGTTTGGTCTGTTGTGCATAATAAAGAGAAGTGAAAGTTGATCTGTTTTAAGTTTATTATAGTTACACTATCCTGATTGAAAATGTAGTTTATTTACTTCTCAAGATTTTAGATTAGATTAAGTGACCCTCATTAGTCCCACAACGAGGAAATTTCACCTCTGCATTTTAACCCATCCATGCAGTGAAACACCACATATGCACTAGTAAACACACACACACACACATTAGGGGGCAGTGGGCACACTAGCCCAGAGCGGTGGGCAGCCCTATCTGCAGTGCCCGGGGAGCAGCTGGGGGTTAGGTGCCTTGCTCAAGGGCACTTCAGTCATGTCTTGTCGGCTCAGGGGATCGAACCGGCCACCTTCCGGTCACAGGGCTGGTTTCCTAACCTCCAGCCCACGACTGCCCCATTAGCGTAGCTCGTATGGCAATTCCATCCTTCTCCATTAAAAAGGCTCATTAATGAAGAATAGTTTTAAAAGGGTGCTTACTTTGTTAGAGCTTTGCCAGCTATATCATAGCAGAATACATTCCTTCTGCTTTCAGATGGTCCAGGGCTGTTTGACCCCTGTGAAAAAGTCCAGACGGATGCGTTGGGGAGCATGACTAAGCAAGCCAGAGAAGATGTAACTGCGAGCGCTCAGGTATTTATAGTCCTATAATGAGATTCCCTGTGTTTCGCATCATTTTAATGATAAGAATGGTGCATCTTTAACTACTCATTTGCATTTTCTCGTAAAGGTCTTTGTTCATTTCCTGGGTAATAATGGTCATTGATATCTTTTTTCAGCACGCCCTGCGCCTGTTAGCTTTCCGTCAGATCCACAAAGTTCTGGGGATGGACTCGCTGCCGGCGTCCAAGGCCAGCGCTCGCAGCCGCAAAAGACGAAGAGACGGCACCGACGTCGGCGAGGGGGAAGGCGAAGGAAAGAAAGACAAGAAAGAAGATTCCCAAGATGTTTAAGAAACAGCTAGGAATCGCTGGCATCTTGATTATACATCATAATTTCTGTCTTCTTTTTAAAAAAAAGAGTAAAATGTCTCACTAAAAGGACAGAAGTCCTGACATTTCTGCGATTTTACGTCAAAGAGGAAGAAATTGAGAAATTATTTTCTCCTTTTCCTCTTTTTATTACCGCTGTACTAAAAATAGATTTAGAAAAATCACTGACCTTTAAGAGAGACGACTGCATTCCATTACAAAGCGTCTGGATACTGAAAGCATCTGAATACTGCTACTGTAAAGTCACTGACCAGTGTCTGAACTGAACACTGTTACTAACCTGGTGTTTTTACTCAAATGTAGGCACATTTATTCAATAATAGCACTTAAGAAAAAAGCTTTAATCCCAGAGGCCAGTTGCTTTTTTGTTTGACGTTTACACAAGACCTTAGATATGGGTCCAGCCTGGTCTTAGACTAAAAAGGATTTTCTGTTTCTCGTCGATAGTGTAAACGCGTTTAAAACTAGGCTTAATTTCTGTGCAGATAATCAACCCGTTATGTGTATCACTGAAAATGATTTCTCTCAAACTCAATGATGAGGAATATAGTACTAAACTACAAGTAAACTCTATCAGCAGCCTATTAAAGGTTATACACGTTAAGAGAAGTTCTCAAGAAGAGAAATGTTTTTTTGTGTAGTTGTTTGTGAAACAACTAAAGTTTAAGGTTCAGAACTAAAATGTTTAACTATTTAATATCTGGAAATTTAAAACACGAGTTCAAGTGAGTTGATCCGTTTCAGTGGCAGTCCTTTCTTTTTGTCGCACATTAATATATCATATATTGTGAAGCTCTTAAATTATGACTGAGGCGGAGGGTATTTTTGTGTCATAGAAGCTCGTTCGTGGCGCGAGTGGGAACAAACGTATGATCTGAAACTGTTCCGATGACGTGATGGAGGATCTTAGGATCTTCTGGTTCTCTTCCTTGTGCCTGAAAATAAGGGAGTTCAGATGGGCAAATTAAAAGTCTACTTGAAATGTGAAGAAGATGGGTGAATATTTTAGTTATTTCATACTGTGATTAAAACATCATGCAATACTTATTATTATTATTATTATTATTATCACATTCTTTTTAGAGATGCAACATTCTTTGCATTTCTGTATAAAGTTAGTTTTCATTTTGACCTAATTTTGGACGTGTTGTGTGTTACAATCGATTTTTTAGGAATGTTTAGTAATGTTTATAATGGCGTGATTTTTTTTTGTTTGTTTGTTTTGAATGTCTTTGTAGTGCTAAAACACATTAAACTCTCAGATCCACAAAAAGTTGCACAGTTTGTAGTTATTTTTGCATAATATCGCTCTCCGACAAGCCCCGACTTCCTAGCCAATCACAGCGCAGGAGGGCGGGGCCTGTCTGGATACGGGTGGGGAGTTACGCACATTAGAGAAGCTGAACTCCTTCCTTCGTTAGAGCTGCGTTCAGCACAAAGCTGTACTGGATCTACAGCCTCGGTAAGTCAAACTAAGACATTTCACGTTTAAGTATCGCTCTGTTTCTGCTTAACCGCACTGTTACCGCGGTTTAGTTACACAGGAGTCAAGCTCGCTTTTAGGACCGTTTCTGTGAGACGATTTCCTCTGTAAGGAAATCAGCCTCAGCATAAAAACCACCTCCTTGTTTCTGCAGTCATCACGCTTTTTACCCGCTCCATTGACCACATAGGAGCACTTTGTGGTTCTACAGTTACAGACTGTAGTCCATCTGTTTCTCTGCATACTGTTACCCTGTCCTTCAATGGTCAGGACCCCCACAGAGCAGGTACTATTTGGGTGGTGGATCATTCTCAGCACTGCAGTGACTGGTGGTGGTGTGTTAGTGTGTGTTGCGCTGGTGCGAGTGGATCAGACACAGCAGTGCTGCTGGAGTTTTTAAACACTGTCCACTCACTGTCCACTCTATTAGACACTCCTACCTTGTCAGTCCACCTTGTAGATGTAAAGTCAGAGACGATAGCTCATCTGCTGCTGCATATTTTGTGTTGGTCATCCTCTAGTCCTGCATCAGTGGTCACAGGACGCTGCCCACAGGACTCTGTTGGCTGGATGTTTATGGCACTCAGTCCATCGGAGACACTGAGGTGTTCAAAACTCTTGTGTCTGATCTACTCGCACCAGCGCAACGTCAGTGTCACTGCAGGGCTGAGAATGATCCATCAGCCAAGTAATGCCTGCTCTGTGAGGGTCCTGACCACTGAAGAACAGGGTAACAGATGGACTGACTATCTGCAGAACAACAGAGTGAGACTGTATCCCTGCTGAAAAAGGACAGTTAGAAACCATCAAATGCTTTTAGAATCAGTTAGTGGTCACCTGTTAAACCATTAGGATCCTTTACATTGTGATATCAACCCATCAAAAAAGCCCAAACACATTACAGAACCAACAGGAACCAACAAAAACATTTAATGGTTTCTGTGGGTTTTTTCAGCAGCGATGGTAAGTGGAACTGAAAAAAGGACGTGTGTAGATACAAGAAGGTTCCCTTAATGTTATGGCTGATCTGTGTGTGTGTGTGTGTGTGTGTGTGTGTGTATATATATATATATATATATATATATACACACACACACACAGATCAGCCATAACATTAAGGGAACCTTCTTGTATCTACACACGTCCTTTTTTCAGTTCCACTTACATATATATACTTCTATTCACAATAAACACAGTCAAAAGGAAGTTAATGGTAAAATGTATTTAAGGGGAGTTCAACTTTTCTTCATGTTTGTGTAAGTAAATGATGATGTTTACAGTCATTCAGAGTGGTTTAGTCTAAAACTCTCTGTTCTAGAGAAACTTGCTGAGTCAGAACTGTTCATAGTGGTGGTGATAGGAACCAGACGTCCACCTCTAAAAGCTCCCTCACAGAAAGTTACTACATTCAACTAATTATGATTACACTGCCTACGGATGTCCGGAGAGGCTATGAGCTGTTGCTATAATATTCTGGATTGTTATCTTGAGATAACAAGACAAGTAACTCGTTATTTCAAGATAACAAAATGAGTAACTTGTTATTTCAAGATAACAATTTCATCTTGAGAAGATAAATAATTTGTGATCTCAAGGTAACAGCATCATTATCTCAAGATCACAAGATAATTAACTGGTCTTAAGAGAAATTTTGTTTTTTTAATTGTTAAAAACGTACTTTTTCAAAAACCCCTGGGGCCAGATTCATAAAAGTGTCCCAAGAAAGAAAATCTTCTTAAATGTGTGTTTTTTCTTAACTTCATTCTTAGGAAAAAAGTTAGGAGAAATTGTTATTCTTCAAATAACTTCCTAAGAATTCTCTTATTTTCTTTTCTTAACTATTTTCTTAAGCATATTTCTAAGAACAAGTGGTCTTCTGGGAAACATTATGTTCTTTAATGTTTTCTTAACCTTACAACAGCCTCACGCTGTCTCAGGCTGTAGGAGTCGACAAGAGCATCTAAATTTATCACGGACGCTGCCTCTGCTGCTCCTGCCCGTCCTCGTCCGTCACCCCGCAGTTATCATATTTTCTAATGAGGATTTTGTTCCTGTTGGCTGTTTCTTCCTCCATCACCTTTAGTTCTTGTTTGCTAAATTTTTTAAACGCTTACTTTGCTGTTTTTCCTTTATTTTGCTCATCTGAGTGGATTAAACTGAATAACAGAAGTAACAGTTAAAGATTCAGAATGTATCTCACATCGTTTGTGGTACATGGTAAAACGCATACATAAGAAAACAAAAATTATCTTAAGAGAATATTTGAGAACTTCTTAATTTTGAGAACTGCATTTAAGAACATTCTTTCAAACTTCTTAGTGTTTCTTAAGAAAGCTTTCATGAATCCGGCCCCTGGTTCCCATCACCACCACTGGAATAACATCTGAGTTAGTATCTCTAAAGTAAACGGTTTCACATCCAGCCACTCTGAATGACTCAACGATTCAACTGAACAGCAACAGTGAAATTTTCGAAAATCGGTGGAATTCCCCTTTAACTTCTGCTTGAAGACCCGTCGCCACAATGTCTTTGCAAAGTGCTCTAAAAGCAGAATTAACTCAACATATAGATTAAGGTACTGTGCTTATTAGCATGCTGATTCTATAATGCAAGCTACACTCTTCTTCAATGGTTCTTTAGTAAAGACAGTGGTTCTATGTGCAACCATTAACATTCAAAGAACCCTTTGCATGATTAAAGGGTTCTTTGCATCATGAAGTGGTTCTTCAGACTGATAGAGAATGTGCTGTTCTGTATGGGGCTTTTTTGAAAATGGTTCTATATAGCACTGAAAAGCGTTCTTCTGTTGTTATGGTGTCAAGTTTGTAACGGTAGAAGAACCTTTTTTAAAAGGTTCTATATAGAACCGTCTATTGCATTTTCTCCATCAAACCGAAGAACCACTTCACGATGCAAAGAACCCTTTAATCAAGAGAAGGGTTCTTTGAGTGTTCTTGGTCCTATATAGAACCATCATTTTCAAGTGTGTGCACTACTGTTCAAAACTTTGCCATATTAACATATTTTGTTGTTTTATATACAGTAAAAACGTGTGCAATGTGAATTTGAATAATATTCTGTATTGTTAGACATTTTATTCAATATTTCAAAAAATTCTGTAGTCGAGAAGTGAAAAATGATGAATAATATATTGAATTCTGTATTTATGTTCATTTTTTTGTCACATTTATCAAGTTGAGATTTGATCTGCACTTTTGAAATATGATGAACTCTAGATTGTATTTTTATTATTTCTTAATTCTGGATGCTGTACAGCTCTCTCAGTCGTTTTAGAATTTATACAGACATGTTCATAATTCTGGACACTTAATTTTATTTACAGCTTCCTGGTGTTCTACCGATTATGAACGGCACGTTATACACTTGTCTGTGACCAAATAGTTTATTGTTGAAAACAATGGGCCTCATTCACCGATATCTTCCCAAGTTTTTTCTTATCCCTTGTGTGGTTTTGGTGTGTTTGTTACTCAGTGGTCTGGTGGACCCACCACATTATTGTTATTTTAAATCAATACAGCCATAACAATTTATGTAAAAATACCAGATGTTTAAAATATCACAAGTGTCCAGCGTAGGGTTCTCCTTTAGCAGCTGTAGCCAGTCAGCAGCCTGTCCATGTTGTCCCCCTCACACACACACATATACAAACGCAATGTCTTTGCAAAGTGTTTGCCAATTAATTCAACATATAGATTAAGGTACTGTGCTTATTAGCATGCTAATTGTATAATGCAAGCTACACTCGTCTTCAATGGTTCTTTAGTAAAGAAAATGGTTCTATGTACAACCATCAACATTCAAAGAACCCTTTGCATGACTCATAATATTGTACAGAGTTGTTCATGATTCTGGACACAATTTTATTCACAGCTTCCTGGTGTCCTACTACTTATGACCAACTTACCAGAATTATGCATATTATTCATATTATACACTAATATATATACTGCCGATTATAAACGGCACGTTATACACTTGTCTGCAACCAAATTGTTTATTGTTGAAAACAATGGGCCTCATTCACCGATACCTGCCTAAGTTTTTTCTTATCCCTTGTGTGGTGTTGATGTGTTTGTTACTCAGTGGTCTGGTGACCCACCACATTATTGTTTATTTAAATCAATACAGCCACAATTTATGTAAAAATACCAGTTGTTTAAAATATCACAAGTGTCCAGTGTAGGGATCTCCTTTAGCAGCTGTAGCCAGTCAGCAGCCTGTCCATGTTGTCCACCCTCACACACACAGACACACACTAACAGCAGGCCATGTAGGAGGAGAACAGAGTGAAGGACACAGCACCTCCACACCTTTACTCCCCGCGGGTTCACCCAACACCACGTGTAATATAAATGGGGGGGGGAGTGAGGGGGGGGAGTGAAGACACTGAAAATGGGTTATTTATATGTTCTTCACAGAAAATGAGCAAAGGCCAAGAATCTGAGGTTAAAATAATAATAAATCACATCATTTTTTCTTTTGGTAAACATTGAAAATGAGTCCCACCGACCTGAACACCACACAGGGGTCAAACGTGTTCTTGAATAAGGCCTTAAGAAAAAGTCTCCGTCAGATTCATGATGTTCTTAAAGCGCAGAACTGTTCTCACCTTTGTGCTCTTGAGTGTGTAGATTCTGTTCTTACCTAAGAACAAACCCCAAATAAGAAAACACTGAATGTCAGAATCTTCGTCAGAACTGCGTAAGTGGGTTGTAAGAAGGAATTTCTTCTTGAGAACGGTTGGTGAACGAGGCTGGTTGATTCCAAACGTTTAAACACTAGTCTAGCTACATCGCTTTAGGTTGCTCAGTGTCTTCTGTGTCTTTTCAGGTGTTGGTTGATGAGCTCTGGGAGGTTGACGGTCTGAGCTGATGAAGCGCTGACTGTACTGTAGCCTACAAACAGGCTGCTGTGAGTAATAGACTGAGTGTTCTGTTTACGTGTAGAAGCATCTGTGGTTGAAATCCTGTAATTTGTGAATAGGTTTCCAGCTGTTTTGATAAGTTTTACAACATCATAAATATTGAAATATGTTGTTATTTCCATATTTGCCTTATAGGAAATCTGATGCCTTGGGCCAGTTCTTATTCTCTATATATTTCTACCGTGGAGATGGCTGCGGTAAGTACAGAGAGTGGCCCAGAAAAGTATCTGGACATTTTTGCCATACTTAGAAATGTATTACATCATTGTGTTTGGAAAGCTTCAAATCAAGCAACGTTTATTTCAAGCAGACTATTTCAACACCAGCATTTTCTATTTGGCAAACTATTCTTTAAAACAAAAAGTGAGTCAGTCGATCCCATGAATGAACAACATCAGTGGACACTCATCTGTTTGAAGTGTTTTTCTCTGAAACCGATATCGTGTAACCTCAAGAACTTTATTAAAGCTTATCATTGGTTAAAATGTCCACATACTTCTGGGGCCTCTATATACTTCACCAAATTATATACTCACTAAAAGTGAAATTAACTGAAATGTCTAAATTGTTGCAGGAATTTTATAAGATATTTCTAGACTTTTTAAAACTTTTTAAACTTTTTTAAAGGGGCTCATATCAAGGAAAACTGAAAACCCCTTGTTTTTTAAATAAATGAGCTTAATTTAATATATAAACATTTTAAAAATGTACCATTCACTCCCCAGTCCATGCAGTCCATATAAACTGCTGAAACATGTCATGAAAACCAATGTATTTGCATATATCCGCCTATTCAGCCTATAAAAAATTAGCCCCGCCTATCCACTTTGAAGTTATAAGGAGTGTTTCAGCCTGAACTGCTTTGAGAATTAAGTACACAACACAGGGCAGTTAATCAGAACAGAGCTCATTTACATATTTGGTCTTAAAGGCAAAGTAGCTGAAACAGCCTGTTTAATTTTAAAGGTTGTAAAAATGAATTCTGGCTGTTTTGGGCACAAAAACACACACAAACTTTTATAAGTGGACTTCAGAGGAAAAAAAACATATGCAAAAAATATATATATATTCCAGATGTATTTACCAGATATATTTTTGTTTTGTTTAATATATTTTTTAAAATGGGTTCAATTGTATTTGTTTTAATTGTATGTAGTTTTAACAAAGAGTATCAATCTACAACACTTGTTTTTGTTAGGTTAAAGGTTTATTTGCTAATATTTAAAATTAAGATACTGGAAATTCATTTCAAAATCATCCAAACAGTAAAGTGCATTAGACAGGATTTTGGCTGTTTTCATACATTTTCAAATGTAGTTGATAAATATATTTACATTTATTTATTTTTGTATAGTATATGTTCTATGTGTTATGTTTCCCCTATGTTTAAAATAAACATATTTTAAAACTTATTTGGTTAATATGGCAATATATTCTGAAATACATTTTAGTGTTTGGGATGTTATTCGGATTGAACTGCAATGTGTTTGGAATGTATTTCCAATATATCAAAAATGTTTGTCCATATATTTTTTTCAATATGTCTTATTCCTTTAGCAGATTCATTTTGCTTGTTTCTGAAAATAAGGCAGATAATTTTTTAATCTTATATTATTCATGCAACAATCTCCAAATGAGAAATATTGAATGTTTTATCTACATGTAAGATGCAAAGAAATCATATTTTGCAGTGCATTACTTACATTTCTCACCTCTCTGATTAATTCTGTGAATTTTTTTGTCATCTTCACAGAAAACGTGGCAGGCTGGTACGCAGTGCGTCGCCAAAAGTGACCACACCAAGCCTAAAACCAGTGAACTTGCCTATCTTAAAGGAGACCTCCTTACCATACTGTCAGTGGAAAAGGTAAAATGGCTTTGATTCTTTGTCAAATATGTTGCCCCATGGAATTATAAGGTTCTATCTGTGTTCTGAGCAGTTTTGAGATATTGAGCTTCAAAGATTTTGGATTCCAAATAGCAAAAATGAGATGTGGAACACGTCGTTTTGTACATGAAAACGACAGACACCCTAAATGTATTCTGAATGTAAAATATCAAAATACTGTCAGATTTGTAAATGAGTTTTTTTGGAACAGCTCAAATGCATATAATCCTAAGAACTCACTTTGTTCTTGGAATTGTAAGGTTTTATTCTGGCAAAACATGAAAAGAAGCAGCAATTTTCAAGGACCAAAAATAGTTTATACTCATAATTTGCTTTTAACATATAAAATTAGTCTTCAATCAGTGTGTATATATACACTGATCAGGCGTAACATTATGACCACCTCCTTGTTTCATTGTCCATTTTATCAGCTCCACTTACTATATAGGTGCACTTTGTGGTTCTACAGTTACAGACTGTAGTCCATCTGTTTCTCTGCATACTTTGTTAGCCCCCTTTTACCCTGTTCTTCAGTGGTCAGGACCCCCATGGATCCTCACAGAGCAGGTACTATTTGGGTGGTGGGTCATTCTCAGCACTGCAGTAACACTGACATGGTGGTGGTGTGTTAGTGTGTGTTGTGCTGGTCTGAGTGGATCAGACAGTTTTTAAACACTGTGTCCACTCACTGTCCGCTCTATTAGACACTCCTACCTTGTCAGTCCACCTCGTAGATGTAAAGTCAGAGACAATAGCTCATCTAATGCAGCACAGTTTGTGTTGGTCATCCTCTAGTCCTTCATCAGTGGTCACAGAACGCTGCCCACAGGACGCTGCCCACAGGACGCTGCCCACAGGACGCTGTTGGCTGGATATTTTTGGTTAGTGGACTATTCTCAGTCCAGCAGTGACACTGAGGTGTTTAAAAACTCCAGCAGCACTGCTGTGTCTGATCCACTCAGACCAGCGCAACACACACTAACACACCACCACCACAAAAGTGTTACTGCAGTGCTGAGAATGTTTCACCACCCAAATAGTACCTGCTCTGAGAGGGTCCATGGGGGTCCTGACCACTGAAGAACAAGGTAAAAGGGGGCTAACAAAGTATGCAGAGAAACAGATGGACTACAGTCTGTAACTGTAGAACTACAAAGTGCACCTATATAGTAAGTGGAGCTGATTGGTGTACATCAGAAAGTTACATTTAATGCTTATGATGTTTTTATGACATTTAATTTTGTTATTTATTTAGTGTTTTGACATTTATTTCTTAGTTGATTTTCTTAGTTTTCACTTTTAGTGAGAACAAGAACATGTAAGTACCTCAAATTTGGCAAAAACGTCTGATAGAACCTTATAATTCCAAGAGGATGATGTCTGTGCCCAATCGCCTCCAGCCTGTAGAGTTTTGTTCTAATGCCAGTCTAAAGTCCTGGCTCTGATAATTGTGATGCCTCTGTAGACTGAACTGCAGCAAGTGTGGTTTAGAATTAGGACTATGGCTGCATGTAAAGGAGCCTGAATGTCATATTGCCCTCATATTGCTGCATATTGTGATTTCCAGTATACTAAAGCACTTTGATGAACCATTTTGACCAACATTATTCATGTTTGTTGAATGACATGAACATTTGATCACCCACAGAACCTCATTTGTGGATGGTCAGAGTGCTCTCAGCACACAAGAAAGACATTATGTGACCTCTTTGAGAGCCTATTTAAATGCTGCAGGTCACTATTGCAGAGGCCAGTATAGTATCAGTGGTTGCCAAGTGAGATTGTGCAGCCCTAGTTTGGACTTAACTGTGTCTCCAGAAGAGCCCGTCCAGATTTAGTGCATCACAAGACTGTAATGTCAGCAGAGGAAGCGCTTACATGTTGTTATTTTACAGGGAAAGGGCATCTTCAGGGCCAGACACAATAGAACGGGTGAAGAGGGTCTGATCTCTGCTTCGAAAGTGCGAGAGCGGGAGGCCCTGCGCGTGGACCCCCACCTCAGCCTCATGCCGTAAGTCTGGTCTAAAACAAAACAAAAGCTCATGTACACATACACTATATGGACAAAAGTATTGGGACACCCCTCCTAATTATTCAGTTCAGGTGTTTCATCCACGCCCATTGCTAAGAGTTGGATAAAATTAAGCACATAGACTTGCAGTCTCGATAGACAAACACTGGCAGTAGGATGGGTCATACTGAAGAGCTCAGTGACTTTAAACGTGACACTGTCATAGGATGTTGCCTCTACCACAAGTCAGTTTGTGAAATTTCTGATCTGCTGGATCTGCCCCTGTCAACCATAAGTGCTATAACTGTGAAATGAAAGCATGTAGGAGCAACAACAGCTTAGCCATGCGTGGTAGACCATGCAAACTCAAAGAGTGGGGCCGGCGAGTGCTGAAGCGCAGTGCCTATCCTATGTTGAATCAATCACTGAAGAGTTCCAAATTGCCTCTGGAAGCAACATCAGCAAAAGAACTGCATGTTAGGAGCTTCATGAAATGGGTTTCCATGGCTGAGCAGCTCCACACAAGCCTAAGATCAAAACGCACAATGCCAAGCGTCGTCTGGAGTGGAGTAAAGCGCCACCAGGAAACAGATTCTGTAGTGTGACGAACCGCGCTTCTCTATCTGTCAGTCTGATGGACGAGTCTGGGTTTGGCGAATGCCAGGAGAACGTTACCTGCCTGACTGCACTGTGCCAGCTGTAAAGTTTGGTGGAGGAGGGATGATGATATGGGGTTGTTTTTCAGGGGTTGGTCTAGAACCCTTAGTTCCAGTGAAGGGAAATCGTAATGACATTTTGGACAATTGCTCACTTCTAACTTTGTGTGAACAGTTTGGGGAAGAACCTTTTCTGTTCCAACTTAACTAAGCCCCAGTGCACAAAGCAGCTCCATAAAGGCTTGCCTGGGTGAGTTTGGTGTGGAAGAACTTGACTGGCCCTCACCGAGCCCTGACCTCAACCCCATCCAACACCTTTGGGATGAACTAGAACGGAGATTGTGAGTCAGGCCCTCTCGTCCAACATCAGTGTCTGACCTCACAAATGCTCTTCTGGATGAATGGGCAGAAATTCCCACAGACAAACAACAAAATCTTGTAGAAGCTTCCCAGAGGAGTGGAAGCTGTTAGAGCTGCAAAGGGGGACCAACTCCATATTAATGCCTATGGATTTAGAATAGGATGTCATGAAAGCTTGTGTAGGTGTACTAATACTTTTGTCCATATAGTGTACCATATAAGTGCGCTTTGTGGGTATACTGTTATTGGCTATTTACTTCATGGGTTGGATTTACTAAAAGAAGCACTAATTACCGACTGTCTACAGATATGGGCTTGGCCAGTTTAACAGGTTGCTTTGTAAGAGATACCATATGACCAGCACAACATGCGTTTGACTCACATTCTATTTATGATTTTCTCAATATTTTGACTCAGTCAGAATCATGGCTAACATGAAAAAATGAGTAATTACTTGTTGAGGAAGTGTGTGATTATTTCAACAGTAATTCAAAAGTAACTATTTTCAGAAAATGAGACATTACTTAAACATAATATGTCAGGAAAACAAATAATTGTTTTGACTCCGTTTTGAAACACGTTCATTTTCGGCTGGTGAGATGAGCTGAAGTTCTGGACAGAGCGCATTTGGAAACTTTTTAATTTCAATGAGCGCATAAAGGTCATTTGAGAATTGTGATTTTGTGTGTAACCTCAGTCCTTTGTGCAGTACATCAAACAATGGCGCACATAAACCACAGCGAGTACCGAACACGAGAATAGGAGCAGCTTTGGTAAAGCCGAGATCGCAGAGCCAAAGAGCTTCAGTATGTCCTTAAACGGCTGTTTGGGAAAGATGATACACCCAAAGTTTTAGGAAAAAGCAATTTGAAATATTGTTTTTCCAAATCTGATTTGGTTTTTATTTCTGTCATCATATTAAGAATGTGGTATGTATGGCAGATGTTTATAAGTGTTTTTTTCATCAAATATAAATAAGTGTATTCGGAAAACCTCTCTTTTTTTGTTAAAACGTTGGCAGCCACGTTAGTGCCAAAAAACAAGACGACCTTTTTCACATGCATATGCAATGAGGCCAAAGCACAAAAGAGCACAGACAGCCCCTTTGAGCTTACTATGGACACGAAAATGGCACTGCTTCCATTTATGAAATTGCATATATATACATATATTATGCACAGGTTAGAAGGAGACAAGTAACAGATACGCCACAGTCTTAATTCATCTATTAAGTCTTAATAAAGTCTTAATACAGTGCGCATACAGTACCATGCAAAGGTCCATGAAAATTTGTATTTATGTATCTCAGCAGTGAGTGTGTTTTTGTCAGGAAAAGTGCTGTGTAAATTAGCATAAGTACAAATAAACATAGATACAGTTAAAGATACAAACAATGAATAAGTTCAGTGAAGTTGTGAATATGTAGTTTAGAGCTAAAGAACTCCAGCCACTGCGTGGATTTGTTCAGTTAATAAGCCTTAAAGGTTCATTAGATAAAGTAGGTGTTGAATGGTTACTGTAAACACTGGACTTCCTTCAGGTTTTTGAACAAATAAATTCCCTGGCAACCAACTTAATGGATTATTTTCTCAGATGATCTCAGAAGACTTTTGTATAGTACTGTATGTGGCAAAAAAAACAAACAAACAAAAAAGGCCAAACAGTGCATTAGTGGAGAGCGGGGCACAACCTAACACATTTTGTTCTTTGCAAAATAATAAAAAAATATTTAAGTTAGAATAATTACGTTTTTATACAAGCAACATATACATCTCTGCTACAAAGAAACACTTGAGCTTTGTTTCTAGCTCCTACCGTTCACGTACAATTTTACCCAAAATTATGGATGTGCAGTGTTACAGTTTAGCCCATGGGTGGGTTCACTGTAACATATAGAGGGTCAGTTTAACACCGGCTAGAAAAGTCTAATGAATCAGTGCAAACAGTGTTAACTCTGTATAGTTCTATGTTGTAAAAAACAAATATATTTTCTTAATGTGATTATATATTATCATCTATAAGACAGACAGACGGCTCAGTCCATAGACACACACCTCAAATTATACATGAACACTAACATGAGACTGTGTGTCAAATAATGACACATTTATTTTTGTCCAAATTATTTTTGTGTAAAAAAAAAACAACTGTTAATGTCAATTTCATTAATGTACTTATTTAAAACTAAAACACTGACATCTGAAAGATACTAATAAAGCAGAAAAAAGTCCCTGTTTTCAGATGTTTCTCTTTTTCATCTTAAAATATGTAGAAACATGGAACAAAAAGGCTAAATTTATGGTCTTTGTTCTCTAAAGGTGTCTGAGCTGTAACGCTGCGTATGAACTAACCCCGCAGTGCGGAGGCTGTACTTGTCAGCTGCTTCAAAGCAGTGCTGCGCTGTAGGAAACGAGATGTTGATTGAAGTAATACAAGGTTGGATTTTGTGATTCACAGAAACAGCTTAGTAACCAAAAAACACTTGGGTTGAAAAAAATTACTGAACACACAAAACGCTGACAAATCACTCTGAATTTTGGCAGAAGACCGCGGCTAGGAAATATGGTAATGCGGCCAGAAGCTCACGCTGCTTGACCTTGTATGACAACATAAAAAGTCTTTAAATTTAAAAAAGTATTGAATTGAGCCCTGCCTTAATTTGTTCCCCATGCTCACCTACCATACATAGAATATAAGCTAGGTGTACATAATAAATTGGCAACTCAGTGTATATTGTGTGGAACATGGAAGCAGCGCTGATTTGAGTCTAACCCTCACTCACAGCAGCTCGGCCAGTACACAAGTTGCACAGTGTTGATATATTCAGTCATTACTTAAGCTAATTGACTGTATCGTTAGAACAACAGTAACGACAGTGTTGTGTCATGTGAAAAAGGCTACAGCACTGTGCAAAAGTCAAAGGCCATCACTGGAAATGTTTTAATTTCTAGTAAAAAGTGCCCATTAAGTACAAGTTATTCATTTTTCAGTGTCAGAAAACATATATTTAAAAGCACACAACACAGAAACCTCAACAACATATACAAATATTCAGACAAATATAATTTTCAGTGTTCAGTGTGTCACACTTTACCTTTCTTACAGCTTCCATTCTTTTCAGGAGACTCACTTTCAGTTTCTCAAAGAATCTGCCAACACGCCTCCAAAGTTCAGTCTTAGAAGTTGGTTGCACTTTCTGCTTCTCGTGATCAACGTAGTCCACTTATTAAACTTCTGTGACCAAAAACAATTCATTTTTACATGACTTTCCATTCTCTCTTTATCCCTCAGAATTAAACAGGCTTTTTTGGTCCTGTGCCTTTAAGACTCATATATTACCTCATATCTCCATTTTTTATCATTTTTCAGTTTTTTGACATAATTTGAATGAGCCTGTTGCCCTTTATATTATTTGTAAATTTCATGATGAATGGACCAGAATGACTTGGTAAAAAGTCTGGTTCCATTGACTTACATTAAAAGTAAAGTAGGTTTTTTCCTTCTCCTGTAAAGTTACCATTTTGGAGATAAACTGTAAAAAGTATCTCGTCAGATCTAATTAAAAAAATTACTTCATGTGGTAACAAGTAAATGAACTAGTTTTAATCAACTCAAAAAATTACTTTGATTGAAAGAATCATTCATTCAAATGTTCCCACAACAGCAATATGTAAATGACCTCTTTGCTGGTTGGCTATTCTGTATTACGCCTCATTCAAAAAGCAACCGGGGCTCACAACTTCAGCATGAATGGTCTGTGTGTTGAACAGGTGGACATATGCAAATATGTTGCTTTTTGTGACATCACAAAAACAGACTTCAAAACAGGCTGTTTTTCAGTCATGTGACTACGTGTGGACGGTGTGCAAGGAAATTAAAGGATTTGAAACTTAAACACTGAAACCATTCGCATACTTTAATTTCAACACTGTGAGGAATATTCAGTTTTCCATGATGTGGGCCCTTTAATTTGCCTTCAGAGTTGTCTTCTCACTCTTCTGACGTAATCCAAACACATTCAGTGGTGTTGAGGTCTGGACTCTGGGGTGGTCAGTCCATTTTTCAGCTTCTTTGTTTGATGTGTCCGTTTCCTTTTCTCAGTGAGGTTCTTCTTGAACAGCTACACATCCTTTCAGACCCACAGCGCTGAGTCGTCTTCTCACAGTGGAAGGATGGACAGAAACACCTGTGGATGTTTTCAGATCTGAATCAGAATCACTTTGTTTGTTGAGGTGTGAAAAAGGAGCTAAAGAGATGTGTGCATGTCTGTACATGCGCAGATATATATGCAGGTCTGAGTAGACATATACTATAAAATGTACAACAAGAACTATTATATACAGCATATTACAGAATGAACATTTGTAAAACATCTGTACAGCTGTGTAAATAAGCATTAGGTTACTGGGGACTTGCTGTAATACAGTAAGGGAGATCTGTTTGATTTGGTTTAAGTATAAAGTGTGAGGTGTCCACTGTGGTTAATGAGCTGTAGCTCTGGGGAAAAACCTGTTGGCATGTCTGGCTGACCTGGTTTTGATTGCTCTGAATCTACTAGAGGAGAGTGTATGAAAAGGGTGATGTCCAGGATGAGAGGGGTCAGCTTTAATTTTGCCAGTGCGCCTTGTCACTGTGCAGATGTCCTGAAGCGTTGGCAGATATATCCGATGAGCCTCTCTGCTGTCCTGATTAACCCTTGTGTGGTGCTCAGGTCTGTGGGACCCATTTTTAATGTTTACCAAACGAAAAAATGATGCAATTTATTATTATTTCAACCTCAGATTCTTGGTCTTTGCTCATTTTCTGTGAAGAACATATAAAATAACCCATTTTCAGTGTCTTCACTCTGTTCACTCCCTACACATTTATATTAAACGGTGTTGGCTGAACCTGCGGGGAGTAAAAGTGTGGAGGTGCTGTGTCCTTCACTCTGTTCTCCTCCTACATGGCCTGCTGTGTGTGTGTGTGTGTGTGAGGGTGGACAACATGGACAGGCTGCTGACTGGCTACAGCTGCTATAGGAGAACCCTACACTGGACGCTTGTGATATTTTAAACATCTGGTACTTTTACATAAATTGCTGTATTGATTTAAAAAACAATAATGCGGTGGGTCCAGCAGACCACTGAGTAACAAACACATCAACACCACACAAGGGTTAAGATCTCTCAAAGATGAGGTGCTGTTTATCTGATAGGGACAGTGTTGGTGTCTACCAAAGCTTCCAGCTGGTTGTTAGGAGTCCCATCTTCTCTGTAGCTTTTAATAACTGTTGTTTTTCACTTATTTTCCTTTGACTTTCTCCTTCCGTATGCAAGTGAATTATCTTTTTATCTGATCTCTCGTCAGAAATATCTTCAAAAAAAAGAAATAACTTTTTAGTATATATATATATATATATATATATATATATATATATATTTATATATATATATAATATAAATATTTGACTGGAAATGAAAGAAATGAAAGGTGTTCTCTGACCTTTGCATGTATAAATGTCTATACTTTATTGTTCTTTGTCTATAGCATATATATAGTATATGGATGCCACAGCCGCTGTTGACTTCCTATGTGATTTGAGCTGTTTTGGAACATAATGGTTATAGGTGTATGTGTAGGAGGGGGGTACTTCCTGTGTGTATTGATGTGTTTGACTTGTTGAGTTAGAGTGTGTAGCCCAGTGTGGTTTGTTACGGGAAGTGTGCAGTTTGCATGTAAATTTTGAAGAATAAGTTTGAGGCTCTAAAAGCAGCATAGGCCTATTTTTATGAAGCACAGAGAGCTTATTTAGGATCGGTTCCCTTCTGTAGTTGTACGTGGTTGTTTTTATTATGCGAACGAATGTAAGCGCTGTGCAAAAGTCCGAGGTATTTCATTTCCAGGTTAAATGAAGCAACGCTTTACTGTTCATTTCAGATATAAGATAATTTAGATTAGATAAGATGAGGAAGGAGAAAGTCACATGAAAACAGTGAAAATAAAGGACTTTCTAAAACTGGCGTACAAAATTGATTGAATGCTACAGAGAAAATGTGTGTAAGTTAGTTTATATATTTCCAAAAGTCCAGTATTTACAGTTACCACACAACACCTGCTTTATCTGATCAGTCCTTCAGTAAATTAAATCAGCTGCTGCTGCTCAACTGGACAAACCCATGTGATGGCTGGAGTGTAGTGAGAAGCCAGGAACCAAACCTGTGCTCCTCTAATCTACGTATTCACAGTTTTGCTGAAAACAACACATTCTGACCACTGACTGCTGTATTTATGACTATTTGCATTTATTCTAATGTTATATAGTGGCTTAAATGGCAAAACTCTATTCCTATACTATATTATAATACTAACAAACAGAGTTTTCAAATTGCAAAAGTGACAGTGCACACAGAACAGCGCAAAAGGCAGAGTACAAGTTTTCAGGAAATATTTGTGAAGAGATTAGATATAATAATAATCAACTTGCAAAAGGAAAGAGAACGTCAAAGTAAAAACAGGAGCTTCCAAAACTGGAGTTCAAAAAATGCTGCAGAGAAAATGAGACTCCTAACAACCACCTGGAAGAGCTGGTAGGCACCAAAACTGCCCCCATCAGATAAACAGCACTTAAAGCTTTCATCTCTGAGAGAGAGGAGAAAATCAAGCTGCTTCAGATCTGAAAACATCCACAGGTGTTTCTGGTTTCTATCCATCCTTCCACTGTGAGAAGACGACTCAGCGCTATGGGTCTGAAAGGATGTGTAGCTGTCAAGAAGAACCTTACTGAGAAAAGAAGACGGACACATCAAACAAAGAAGCTGAACAATGGACTGACCACCCCAGAGTCCAGACCTCAACATCACTAAATGTGTTTGATTACTTCAGAAAATGATCAACCAGCTTCTGAGACTGAATTCTGGAGGTGTGTCTGCAGATTCTTTGAGAAACTGAAAGTGAGTCTCCTGAAAAGAATGGAAGCTGGAATGAAGGTAAAGAGTGGACAATCTAAATACTGACAAATGTGATATGTTTTATTTAGTTGTTGAGGCTGCTGTGTAATTTTCTGTTAAATAGAAGTTTTCTGTTTCTTTTTATTCCTCACACCGATTAAAGAATAACTTAGTGGCTGTTTTGACTGGAAATTAAATTAATGAAGGATACTCTTTGACTTTTGCACAGTACTGTCAGTGGTCATTGGCCATTTTATCATAAACACCTACCATATAGCTGCACTTTGTTGTGTTGCTGGCCAATTTGTCACCCATTCTCAGGCAATTTGCAACTTTATGCAACTTTTTTAAAGAATAATATCTCCATGTCACTGTTTTCTCATGCTGTTTGTGAAATTTCAGCTGGTTCCATGGTAAGATCTCTGGTCCGGAGGCTGTCGGTAAGCTGCATCCTATGGAGGACGGCCTGTTCCTTGTACGCGAGTCTATCCGGCACCCAGGTGACTATGTGCTGTGTGTCAGCTTTAATCAAGAGGTCATTCATTACCGCATCATCTATCAGGACTCCAAACTGACCATCGACAGAGGGCAATACTTTTACAACCTCATCGACATGGTGGAGGTGAGATTTTTCCGAAGGTGCTGAAGTGCTAAACCATGTCTTCAGAGGTGCTGTTCGTGTCTTCAGGCTGTGGGCCTGTATCTTACTTGCACAGATCGTGCTTGACTCATTTCCTGTGGTCTGAAATTTCCGTGGTAAGCGACACGCTGACCAGATACTCCACAGAACCCAGGGATGTGACGCACTGTCATGCATGGAGTAATTTATATCAGACTGTTGCAGATTTTTATTGTGTAAAGAACATTCACCTCCCTCCTTATCTGGTCAGTCATGTACTTGTGCTGTACTTCTTGCACACGGCCTTATGCAGCAGTTTGGGCACCCCTGGTCAAATTACATGCTTTGTTGATTTTCTAAGTGAAAATAAGTCTGAATTTAACATATTGGGGGGAAAAAAAATGTAAAACACTAAATGTGTGCTAGCGATAGAATTGAATAAATCCATGTGATGGCTGGGGCGTCCAGGAGGAATCCGGAGCAGAACTCTGTTCTTTGAGCTAACATAATATTGGCTACTGTTGTTACTTTTTGCTGTGTTTATGTTTATTTGCATTTATTCTGATGTTGTATGGTGATTTTTACAAGCACAGACACCATTATTGCAGATAAAAAGGCTGTGTGCTTAGATTAGATTAGAATAAATTATATTAGATTAGATTAAATTAGATTCAACTTTATTGTCGTTGTGCAGAGTGCAAGTACAGAGCCAATGAAATGCAGTTAGCATCTAACCAGAAGTGCAAAATACAGTATTATTACATATAAAGTGCAGGAAAGTAACCATGGTATGTGATGCTGTGGTTACAATGTGTACAAATAAGGATGGTAGAGTAGTAAATAAAATATAGATATGCAAGTATGAATATAATATACGTATATCGCTGCTGCCGGAAGAAAATATGTCAGTTTTTGACATATTTTGAAACTGCCTGTTGCTCTTTACATTGTTTGTAAATTTCATTATGGTTGGACCAAAAGAAACGGCCCAAAATGACTTGGAAAAAATTCTGGTTCCATTGACTTACATTAAAAGTAATGTGGGTTTTTTCCTTCTAGTGTAAAGTTATCATTTTGAAGATACAAGGTTTTCTTCCAACAACAGCGATGTACAGAGTGAGTGAAGAGACTGCAAATGTACGTAGTATGTGTTGTGAGAGCAGCATATGTAAAATGATACACATGCAGAGTAAAAACATGTACAGTAAAAGACTGTGCAAATATGAAAAGAGCCATAATACTAAGACATAAAATACAGTAACAGTGCTGTGAGTGCAAACATGCAGTTAAGGTGGTGTGGAGGTCAGCAGGGTCACATCCTCAGGGAAGAAGCTCTTCCTGAGCCTGCTGGTGCGGGAGCAGAGGCTCCTGTAACGCCTTAGTTGCTTTAGACCCATGCACAATAGTGTATGTCCCCTCGTTCATAGTGGTGGCAAAATTATTTTCACTTAGAAAACCAACAAAACACTTAATTTGACCAGCAGTGTAATATCTATATAATAGATACGACTGTATCTATTATATCCACTACACTATGTGACCAGGATAAGAGTGAAAAACAACAGAACTGATTATAATTTTCTCTTAAACATGTTAGTCATTTATTCTAAACCATCCAGAGCATGCTTTTCACACACTGTGTGCATGGGTGCAAATTTGGTCTGACAAGTGGGGGGGGGGCAGAATCTGAAAGCTTAAGCGCTCATACAGCGATGCAAGAATAAAACTAGGTGGAAAGATGTACCTGCAGTTAAAGTGACTAAATCGTCATATGTGTCTAATGGCTTATAAATCAATATTAAGAAATAAGACCAAATACTGTTGTTAACAGGAGTAGTGTAATGTATTTTGATACATACTCAGTGTATCAGTTTCTCGTTTCTGGCAGATCTTATTTATTTGTCACTGAAATGCATTGAAACAAGTTCTATGTTTGATCTGCATGTTACAATAAATATTGTAGAAAAATACTTTTATAGTGATCGATGTGACAAGTTAAAGGAAAGGACTTTAAAATAAGTCAGTCAGTGATTTTAGTACAATAAGTAATTATTGCAAGCAATGCAATTTATATTAAGTTATGCTGCATTTAATGCACATTTAGTGCAAACTTGATGCACTTGAACAACTGTGGGTCACAACACAGGAGCGTCAGCCAATCAGACTACTTCATGACATCCGAGACTCAAACTCCTCATTTCGCTCCAACACCTCAAATTAGAAGCCAAGATACGGTAGTGTGCAAAAGTTTTGGCACCCCCGGTCAAATGACGTTTTGTTGATGTTCTAGTTGAAAGTAAGTTAACACACCCTCTACCGAGAACACTCTTCTGCACATTTTAGTGCAGAATTACTCGCTGAATTTAACAAATTGGGGTGAAAAAACATAAAATGTGACATGTGCAGAAGTTATGGCACATTTTACATTTTATTTTTTTTTCCCAAAAATATTTAATCAACAATATAATATACCTTTTGTGACAGTCATGCATAATTTCAAAAGTGGGTGGAACATGCCCCCCGCCGTTCTGCGCTGTTTATGAGTGAGAAAGATTGCTCAGACGACAACCCTTACAAAAAATAGTTTATTTAAAGTGAATTTTATTTACTTAAGTAAAGTATGTTTCCCAAGTAGTAAGTAGTAAGTATACTAATATCAGTGTACTAGTAGTGTACTTGTAAGTGTACTATTGCAGTACTTCTTGGGACTAAATTGGCCCACTTTTTAGTTTATAAAAGTATACTTTAAAGTATACCACAAGTAAAATGATATATATCCATTGGCCTAAGCGCATGTCTTTGGACGGTGGGAGGAAACCAGAGCACCTGGAGGAAACCCACACAGACACGGAGAGAAGTACACTAATAGCACACTTGAATAAACGTCTTGTAAACATTTTATAAGGGAAGCAGAACAGCTGCAGAGAAGATATTCAACATCTGTCAATATACATGCAACACAGAATTCCTATCACTGCATGGAAGAATTTAGATTTATTACTGAACAAAATGCAATGACTGTAACATGCTGTGATGTGCGGATGTGTTAGTCAGACTTTAGTGGGTGGGGAAGTGGCAGAATATTTTTGGAGTCCAGAGTGTGATGACCTGTGTGTAACGTGGTCTATTTCTTATTGCAGTTCTACTCTAAGAATAAAGGAGCTATTGCAACCACACTGCAGAAGCCGAAGGAGAAGGAAGGCACCAAATCAGCAGCACTGCAACTGTACAAAAGTAACTGAAGTAGCTGGTTCACTACAGAAGCATCAGCATGCGTTAAACTTTTTAAAATGTGCTCTATTTATTTATTTGTATCTAATAATTTATTTCTCTCACACTTTCAGCGGGATGGCTACTGGATCTCCCCAACCTGACTCTAGGAGAGAAAATAGGACAGGGCGAGTTTGGAGGTTTGTTCTCATTCTTGCAGCTAAGATGCAGACAGTGTAAATAAATACTTTTTTTGCCACCAGATGGCGATATATGTGTGGTTTATAATGTTTGGTCCAGCTAAATTCCCAAGGAATCCCCACTCTTCTGTGTTCAAAATGCACAAAACTGTATATATTTTTCAATCAACTGTATCAACTAATTGTTTTTGTGCACATTGATTACTAGCCCTAGGCTATGTCCAGTAACACTTAACTGTAGGGTACTGTTCATAAGGCTACATATCACCTACATAAGCTTGTCATAATAACTGACATAACTCTACATAAATGTTTATAAATGGTCATTCCAACAGGTGTCATCTGATATAAAGGGTACATTTGCCAATTTTGATCAGAGTTAGTAGCCTTTATGACAGTTGGGGCCTTTTGGAATAAACTTTTATAAACATTTATTTAGAATTATGTCAGTAGTCGCAACAAGCTTGCATAGATGTCATATAGCCTTATGAACAGTACCCTACAGTAAAGTTATTAAAGGGCAATGTCAGATTTGAGATCATAAACAGCATCATTCAGACAGGTTTGATGTAAATTGTGCCATTATGGAGGAACATGCTGAGGTGTTCACAGTGGTGGTGATAGGAACCAGACGTCTGTAGAGTTAAATGCCTCTAAAAGCTCCTTCACAGAAACTTATTATGTGAATACACTGCCTAATGTCTGAGACATTGCTATATGACAGTTTTGAGAAGGTTTTGGGCTAAAACACACACAACCTAAGCCACTTGTCCTCCTGGGTCGCTGGAGCCTATCCCAGCAGTCATTGGGCAGAAGGCAAGAAACACTCTGGACATGTCGCCAGTCCATCGCAGGGCAGACAGACAGATATACACATTCACAGCTAGGGGCAATTTAGCATGTCCAGTTGCCCTGACTGCATGTCTTTGGACTGTGGAAGGAAACCCATGCAGACACGGGGAGAACATGCAAACTCCACACAGAAAGGACCCTGATCGCCTAGCCAGGGAATCGAACCCAGGCCCTTCTTGCTGTGAGGTGACAGCGCTACCCACTGCCCCCGGTTTTGGCCTAAAACATATTTTTAAAATTATTGGCAGAGAGGTACATGCAGGATGACGAGAGGCAAAATAGTCCCCAAAGAAAGCATTTTTTAAGATTAACCACTATTTTATCATCATCAACATTCCATGGGGCAGTCATGAGCTGGAGGTTAGGGAACCAGCCCTGTGACCGGAAAGTCGCCGGTTCGATCCCCTGAGCCCACAGTACGTGACTGAAGTGCCCTTGAGCAAGGCACCTAACCCCCAACTGCTCCCCGGGTGCTGTGGATAGGGCTGCCCAGCGCTCCGGGCAAGTGTGCTCACTGCCCCCTAGTGTATGTGTTCACTAGTGTGTATGTGGTGTTTCACTGCATGGATGGGTTAAAATGCGGAGGTGAAATTTCCTGGCGGTTTTGGATAGTAAATAAAATGCCTATATTTGTGTTGTAGTCATGGTGACCCCTGGTTCCTATCACCACCACTGTAAAGAAAGTGTGTTTCTATATGAAGCCAAGTTGTGAACATGTTTTTACACAATGTACAACTCATTACATTCTTTTATTGCCAAAGTATTTTAGTAACAAGATGTAATGTTATAAAATACATCTCAACTCGATTTGAATCCTACACACCTTCTTTAGTTGTATATTGTTTTGTCTTTTTGGCCCTCGGCCCCCTATAAATGTTGCTCTTCGGCCTCCCAAAAAGCAAATAGTTTAGGCACCACAGCTGGAATTCATCTGTATTTTTCTCATCAAAATACTGAAACACCAAAACACCAGAGTCTCACAGTCCTTCTCCCTCATGTTTAGCGGTGTATGTAGGTGAGTACATGGGCAGGAAGGTGGCTGTGAAGAACATAAAGTCTGACGTCACTGCTCAAGCTTTCCTGGATGAGACGTCGGTCATGACGTGAGTGCTTCTGCCCACAGGGGGCACAGTCATTTTTTTAAAATGAGACCAGTTGCGTAAATGCTAACTTTTACCCTGACTGTGTCTGTACAACACTTGCTGAAAGATTTCCTAGCCTGTTTCCATAATCCGTATCCTCTGCGTCTCTTTCCAGGAAACTCCAGCATAAAAATTTAGTGCAGTTAATGGGAGTGATTCTACATAACGGCCTCTACATCGTGACAGAGTTCATGGCTAAGGTATGACTTTGGGACTTGGGACAGTATTCCGTGTCTTAAACAGAACTGAAATTAGTTATGAATTATTAAATTAGTTAAAAATGATAACTTTATATGTGAAGGAAGGAAAACAAACTCACCACACAGTGTAAAGGGCAGCTGGTTTTTTAAATGGTGTAAAACTTTTTTTCAGTGTGGTTTCAAAATGCCAGCAACAACATGTACACTATGTGGACAAAAGTATTGGGACATCTACACATTATACCTACAGGAGCTTTTATGAATCCCATTCTAAATCCATAGGCATTAATATGGAGTGCAGCTATAACAGCTTCCACTCTTCTGGGAAGCTTTCTAAAGATTTTGTTGTTTGTCTGTGGGAATTTTTGCCCATTCATCCAGAAGAGCATTTGTGAGGTCAGACACTGATGTTGGACGAGAGGGTCTGGCTCACAATCTCCCTTCTAGTTCATCCAAAAGGTGTTGGATGGGGTTGAGGTCAGGGCTCTGTGAGGGTCAGTCAAGTTCTTCCACACCAAATTCACCCAGTCATGACTTTATGGAGCTGCTTTGTGCACTGGGGCTCAGTCATGCTGGAACAGAAAAGGGCTTTGGGCCCAAACTGTACCAACAAAATTAGAAGCATAGAATTGTCCAGAATGTCTTGGTGCTGAAGCATTACAGCTGGCACAGTGCAGTCAGGCAGGTAACGTTCTCCTGGCATTCGCCAAACCCAGACTCGTCCATCAGACTGACAGGTAGAGAAGTGCGATTAATCACTCCACAGAATACGTTTCCACTGCTCCAGAGTCCAGTGGCAGCGCTTTACACCACTCCATCCTACGCTTGGCATTGTGCTTGGTGCTGAAAGGCTTGTATGCAGCTGCTCAGCCATGGAAACCCAGGGCATGAAGCTCCAATGGACAGTTTCTATGCTGATGTTGATGCCAGAGGAGGTTTGAACTGTGCAGTTATTCATCAGCAGAGTGTTGGTCTCTATTATTCACTATGCGCCTCAGTACTCAGCGACGCGCTCTGTAACTTTACGTGGTCTGACACTGTGGCGTGTTACGTGGCTGAGTTGCTGTGATTCATAAACCCTCCACTTTTCAATAACACCACTCACAGTTGATCGTGGAATATCTAGGAGGGAAGAAATTTTGCGAACTGACTTGTTGCAAAGGTAGCATCCTATTACAGCACCACGCTCGAATTCAGTGTCCCATTCTTTCACAAATGTTTGTAAAGGCAGGCTGCATGGCTAGGTGCTTGATTTTATACACCTGTGGCAATGAGACTGAATGAAACACCTGAATTCAATGATTAAGGGGTGTGTCCCAATACTTTTGTCCATATAGTATATCTTTAAAGGACCCATGTCATGGAAAGCCAGAATTCCCTTACTTTTTATGAAATGAGAGAGTTGATGTAGTATGTAAACATTGTAAAGGTTTCAAAATCTATTGTTTACTCCCCAGACCATACGGTCCATATGCAGAAACCAAGCCTCAAAAACAGCCTCTTTGGATTTCATTGTTTTTGTGATGTCACAAAAACCAACACATTTACATATATCCACCTGTTCAGCTGACAGCAGTTTAGCCCCACCCATTCATGCCAGGGCAACTTTTTGAATGAGGCACAATACAGAGGAGCCAATCAGAGCAAAAGTCATTTGCATATTTCACTCTTAAAGGCACAGTGACGAAAACAGTGTGTTTAATTTTAAAGGATAAAGAGACGTTGGAAATGTAAATTATGTAAAATTTACAATTTAGCACATCACATAAAACAAAAAGCATGTAAACATGTACAGCAGGGAGAAAAAGAATACAAGAAAACGTTAGATATGTGCCTTTTAAAGCAATGTGAGTGGTCTGTGTTGATTTATGCTGGCTCTATTGTACCTGTATGTAGTAGTAGTGGTGTGTGCTGTCTCACAGGGCAATCTGGTGAACTATCTGAGGTCACGGGGACGTTCGGTCATCACTACAGTCCACCTCCTGCGCTACGCACTGTAAGCTTTTACATAGACAAGTCCAGTTGACACATATAACTCTACAGTATTGCATATGTGGCTACACAGAGACAATGTGACATATGCAGTGCTTTACTGTGTGAATTTGAGTCACAGTGTTTGGCTGGACTTTGCAGAGATGTGTGTGAAGGGATGGAGTATCTGGAGTGTAAAAAGCTTGTTCATCGAGACCTGGCTGCCCGCAACATCCTTATATCTGAGGACAACGTGGCCAAGGTCAGTGATTTTGGCCTGGCCACAGTCGACCTGGAAAAGGTTGACTTGCAGAATATTGACAGCACAAAGTTACCTATCAGGTGGACCGCACCGGAGGGCCTGAACAGCAAGGTGAGTAAATATAACTACCACACTGCAGCAGAGTTGTTGCAAAAATTGTGAATGTAGGCTGTTACTCCTCATAAAAACAGAGAGATTCGCTTTGCAGCTGGATTTACTTTATTGTACTTTTTGTACTTTTATGGTACTCTTATAGCGAGTTGAAGTGGCCTTCACACCAGGACACCAACACACTGTTAGCCTGAATGTACGTTTAGCTGTGGTTAGAGATAAAAACACAGCAAATAGAGCAGATTTGATTAGATTACATCAGAGTTTATAATTTTTCGTATTATATATATTGTTTTTATGGTAGTAAGTAACAAACTGTAACCTTATTAAGTAATTAATAGTGCTGTAGTACTGTAAATCTCCCCCATTGTTAGACTAATGAAGAATTATCCTATCTTAGATTCTGTAGCAAAGCGCTTTAATGTACACTCTTAAAAAAGATGGTTCTTCAAGGGTTCTTTAGTAAAGGGAATGATTCTCTTTAGAGCCATGAGTTCTATAAAGAACCATTTCATGCTTAAGTGATTCTTTGCATGGTAAAATGGTTCTTCAAATTGATGGAGAATGTGTTGTACATGGTTCTATATAGAAACGTTTTGGAAAAAATATACAAGAAATTCTCCATCAATCTGAAGAACCACTTGATGATGAAATGGTTCTGTATAGAGCTTCCAAACAGAACCATTGACTTTACTAAAGAACCTTTGAAGAAGCATCTTTTAAAGTATGTGTGTAAAAAATGGTTGAAATTCAGTATTTATGGTCATATTTACTTAATTTAAAAGACAGGATTTTTCCTTCTGTGAACGAATATTTTTAAAGACTTTTTTTAAAGAAGTTTTTTAAAACATTTTTTTTTCTTAAAAAATAGCTAATGGCCATACAATTTTAAAATACTCATTAGAATATAAAAATACATTGAAAATAAACCAGTTTATCAAAATATATTCTGTGTTTAGTATTTTGGACTGATTAACTGGACTAGTCATTAATGGTTAAGCATTTAAATTTAACTGTTGTTGCCTTTACTTATGTTTGTTTGTTTGTTTGGACATTTTAAGTAAGTGGTGGCTAATTTTAGCTGAAAACCCCTGAGCTGTAGTATTATTGTTACAGTGTGCTGGTTGTGTTGATGTGACTCTTCATTTAGGTTGTTTTATTCTGATTTACATCAATGTTAAATGGTCTTATGTGTGTTCCTTTGCTAGTGCATAGATAGGGATGGGCAATATGACAGTATTTATTATTATGATAAAGAATGATATTGGAATCATATCAGTATCAGACAGACAGTTTAGATCTGAATGATATTTCAAACTGATATTTGATGTAGTTTTGACTGTGGCACTAAACATCGTGATGCATGGTGTGTGCTGGGAAAATGTTTTGAAGTATCGTAATATAATATCGTTATATTTTTGCCATATCGCCCACCCCTAATGGTAGAGCCACCTAGAAAAGCCTCAGAATGCCTTGATATGGCCGTGTTTATTTGCTGCACTGTGAGCTTGTCTGTGGTGGTTTGTTTCTATTAACAGTGTTTCTTTCTCTGCCCTTACAGAAGTTCTCCACACGCTCAGATGTTTGGAGTTATGGCGTGCTCCTGTGGGAGATTTTCTCCTATGGCATGCTGCCCTACCCCAAGATGGTGAGTTGGTTGTGCCATTCTCTGACCAGTTCAGTTCCCAACAAAACCAAATAAAAACAAAAACAAGTGTGAAATATGGGCCCTTGGTTAATGAAGCAGTTTTTAATCCAAAGTGGATTTATCTGCTATCTGTTCCACTCTGAGTTGCAGTTCAGTGTGTTCACCAGTAGAGGACCCACACAGGCAAGTTTTACTTTAACTGAAAACGTGACAGCTGATCATTCAGTATTCTTGCTCTAACCAAGAGAAGAGTCATTTATATTGTTTTATTCTGATTTGGGGACCCTGACCACTGAAGAACAGGGTAAAAGGGGGCTAACAAAGTATGCAGAGAAACAGATGGACTACAGTCTGTAACTGTAGAACTACAAAGTGCACCTATATAGTAAGTGGAGCTGATAAAATGGACAATGAGCGTAGAAACAAGGAGGTGGTCAGAATGTTATGCCTGATCAGTGTAGTTTTCTGTGATCTCTAGATTCACTTTTGTCTGTGTAAAACAGGTGGAGGCTTTTATGAAGCTGCACAAAATGTACATTTAAAAAAGGTTTATATTGGTAAGTTTAAAGGGGAGTTCCCCCCATCTGTAAGCATCTCTGTGTAATTCTGTCTTTGAGATGTAAACATTCATTCAGAGTGGTTTGGTGTGAAATGGTTGAGTGTAGAGACTCTTTACAGTGGTGGTGATAGGAACCAGGGGTCACCATGACTACAACACAAATATAAACATTTTATGTACTATCCAAAAAAAAACAGTGAACATACACATGAGTTTTTAAGTAAAGTTGAAGATGGTGAAATAGTGGAAAATCTGAAAAAATAAGTTCTTGTGCACTGTTTTGCTTTACAATGCCCTGCATGTACTCCTCCACCATGAATGGATTTGAAAAAAATGTGTTATAGGCCAAAATCTTCTCTCATGTATTAACTCTCTGTGAGGGAGCTTTTAGAGGTGGACGTCTGGTTCCTATCACCACCACTGTGAACAATTCTGACTCAGTAAGTTTCACACCAAACCACTCTGAATGACTCTGTTTACTGATTCAGATGTGCAAAAATTTGGAAATATAGGTGGGATTCCCCTTTAGAAGAGCCTCCCCTCAAGAAGAGCACACGCTATTAATACTGCATTGTAAGAGAGAAAAGAGGAATAAAATGATTGACGTAATTAGCTGAATAACGTGGCTTTAAGTCGACACCATAAGTCGTTCACTGGCTCTTGATATATGGTCTAAATCTCTCTTTATAGATCAATAATCAGTGGTTTGTGTTATTACAGCAAGAAAGACTTAAAGAACAATAAAGCACTAAAAAATCACCATCTACAGAGAGTGTTTAGTGTCCGAATAGGCTTTGAAAAGACCACCAGGCTTGTACAGTGTTTTTTGAATGATGCAGTTTGTAATTCTCCATTTCTCTCTTCCACTGCAGAGTCTGAAGGAGGTGAAGGAGGAGGTGGAGATGGGCTATCGCATGGCGGCTCCTGAAAATTGCCCACCTGAGGTTTATGTCCTAATGAAGGCCTGCTGGGACAAGGAACCCAAGATGAGGCCGTCGTTCCACAAACTCCGAGAGCGTCTACAGACCGAACTGACCAAATACGAGTCTGCCAAAGGGTCGTGACTCCATATAACTGCTTCCTTCAGAGGAGAAGAGACATTTTACTCTATATATACTCTAATATCACACTATACTGGACAGCTCTGGGGTGTTACATCAAGGCCTTGTTCACAAGGATTTGACACTGAATGTAGTCTGCAGACTTGCTAAGTTATTATTTCTTATTTATCTACAGCTTTATGAAGCAGTAATGTTAGCGCATGGGTGCTCCTGGTCACATGACATGTTTTCTTGATTTTCTAAGTGAAAATAAGTTAATACATCCTCTACAGAGACACACTTGAATTTTAAGGGTCCATATCATGGAAAAACACATTTTACAGTGTTTTTTTTTTTTTTTACAATAAAGAGTTTGTAGAGTGTAAACATTGCAAAAGTTTCAAAACATACCATTCAGTTTGGGCTACTGGACAATAAGAATAAATATTGGAAAAATTATTGGTGAAAAAATGTGGTCTGTGCAAAAGTTCTGGCACATTTTATAGTTTATGTTTTTTCCCAATATGTTAAACTCGGCAAGTAAATAGAAATTGTGCAGTGAATATTTAAGTGTGTTCCTGTTAGAGGATATGAGAACTTATTTTCATTTAGAAAATCAACTAAACATGTCGTTTCACCAGGGCTGTCCAGACTTTTGCATACAACTGTATTACAAAAGGACAATGAACTTATTTAAGTGAAGACTCAGGTCTTGTATTGAGGCTTTAATGAGACACACTGATGATGTGATTGTACAGCATGTGCTGGAAGTTAATTTAAGAAATGATACTATGGAGCGTAAATGTGGAAAGAAAAGAGCTGAACGATGGCAGACATGCTTAAGACCTGAGACACTCAAACTCAGGTCCAAAGCAAGCTCTACCTACGAGGAACCACCTCCGCTCAGGATGCGCAGAACTGTTCTCACCTTTGTGCTCTTGTGTGTGTAGATTTTGTTCTTACCTAAGAACAAACCCCAAATAAGAGAACATTATTGAATGTCAGAATCTTCGTGAAAACTGCGTAAGTGGGTTTTAAGAAGAAATTTCTTTTTAAGAATTGTTGAGTGAGGCCCTTTGAAAACAAGGGTTGTGTTGTAGGAGTAGCTTTAATATTTATTTTTGATAAAAAGAAATGTGTGTGTGGTGTGCAAAAGTGAGACATTATTGCAGCAGTTTATTATGGATATGTAACACTTCTGTTATATAAGCTTTTATGCAATATGTAACCTTCTGATCTCTTCCTCTGTTCCTCAAACACACATGACAGCGACACACATACAGTGCTGTACAAACGTCAGTTATTCAATTTTCAGCCCCAGGAATGAACAAGAACATTACACAGATTTCAACATGATACTTTTAATATATTCAGTGAGTCACTCTTCACCTTCATTCCAGCTTCCATTCTTTTCAGGAGTCTCACTTTCAGTTAGAGCTGGGCGATATGGCCAAAAATGTTATCACGATAAACAAAATTCATATCGTTTGATATCGATACATATCGCGATAAATGTCAAATCATGATTTCTTTCACGTTTGAAGGCTAATTTTGCTCCTGGGTGGTTAATTGCGGTTTTAAACTATCACTTATGGTCCGATCATAACAAACACTCACCAAACAGTGGAACATTTCACTAATCTGTCATGGAAGAGTGGGAGAAAGTTTCTGAGCTGTTTTTATCAGCTTGAAAAGCACAGCTGCAATTTTTGTAATAGTCATGATTTAAGAAAGAAAACAGATTATTTTTAGCTGTCTGGTGTCGAGCGCTCGGCTACCCCGTTACAAATGCTAAACAAGTGGCCAACAACAGCGCTAAACTCTATGGTTTCTCAACAACGTCAGCTCGGTTCGGTAGGTCACTGCTGTCACTCCTACCACATCCATGTCAGAGCATATCACAGTATTCAGACACCAGCTAGACGGCTGGGTTTCTCTATGCTGTCGTAGTAGTTTGAGGGGTGAACCGCAGTATATCTGACGTTCGCTGTGTAAAAGCATTATCTGCAGTGTGAATCTCTCACACCAGTCACAGAGTCCTCCTTTTAGGCATGTTTAAACTGAAAGCGGTGATTTTGTGTCGTGTTTGATCTACCGTATCATCAATTCAAAAATTCGGAAGTGCGCCCTCTCCTGGCGACAGCAGAGTAGTGTCGCTTTCCTTACAGTAGAAAACGCCACCAGGGCTTTCGCTTAAAACGTGGAAGTGTGAGAATGGTGTATTATATCGAAAATTTATCGAACCCGTCTTATCGCTCTATCGAAGAAAAGTTATATTGCGATACTTATCGTTATCGTTTTATCGCCCAGCCCTACTTTCAGTTCCTCAAAGAATCTGCAGACACACCTCCAAAGTTCAGTCTTAGAAGCTGGTTGATCATTTTCTGAAGTTGAGGTCTGGACTCTGGGGTGGTCAGTCCATTGTTCAGCTTCTTTGTTTGATGTGTCCGTCTCCTTTTCTCAGTGAGGTTCTTCTTGAACAGCTACACATCCTTTCAGACCCACAGCACTGAGTCGTCTTCTCACAGTGGAAGGATGGACAGAAACACCTGTGGATGTTTTCAGATCTGAAGCAGTTTGATTTGCTCCTCTCTCTCAAAGATGAAAGCTTTAAGTGCTGTTTATCTTGTGGGGGGCAGTTTTGGGGTCAACCAGCTCTTCCAGGTGGTTGTTAGGAGCCACATTTTCTCAAAATCTTTTACATTTTTAAACGTTTTTAGTTTTAGAAATTCATGCTTTTTTCATCTGATTTTCTCCCTCCTTTTGCAAGTGGATTATCAAAAAATCTCCCTTAGCTATTTTAGGTGCACACAAGAGAGAATGTGCAAGTCAGCTAAGGTGAGTTTGCTTGTGTGAATGTTAGTGTCTCTTCACAAAGGTAGTGATTTGAAAAAATTAAATACTGTTGGATTTGACATTATATTTAGTGTTGGAGGCTTTTGTGTGATTTTCAGATGACAAATTAAAGGCAAGACTAACAAGGTGCCACTGAAAGCTGCCAGAACATCTTCAACATAGAGTCTTCGGCCCAATCCCATTTCACCCCTCGCCCCTACCACTTGGCCCTTAACCCTCCGTTTTGCACGTTCATGCCTAGGGGTAGGGTGTCCCAATTTTTGTTGAGATAGAGGGGTAAGGCGAAGTGTTAGGGCTACATGACCCTCCAAACGGAGGTTTCTCAGAGACTCCAAGCAGTGTGTGAGGAGAAAAAAGAAAAAATGGTAAGACAGCTGCACAAGCGACCAGAGAAACCCACAAACGTGAGAATTTTCTCCATTAAAAATTATAATAACCATAATATTATCTTAGTTTAATGTCATTTCAATGTATTATGGTCGTTTTCTTCATACCAAGCATAAAAAATCGCTAATAGTATGCTAATCTTTCAATAGCTAGCTAGCTAAATTTCCCATTCCAGGTTCCAGTTCTGATGCCTGAAGTGCCAGAATGTAACTGCTGCTCCATTTAAGGTGGAACGGGAAAATTAGAACAAGAAGCTGACGAATATCTGACTTCAGCTTCATATCACTGAAGAATTAGGGGTGGGCGATAATAAATAACTGTCACACCCTTTTTGAAGGCCTGTGGTGCCCTAAATGTAACTAAAGCCCAGCAGTGAGGAGCTGAACTTTACCCTCCTCTGCTGTCACTGCAGACTGGCAGGGTCGCCTACAGAGCAGCGCTAGTAGCTCTTTTTATTTGAGGGTCCCATTTCATAGGGAAGATTTCAACCACTACCACTTGTAACTCAGTTCCAAGGGGCAAGGTGACACTCGAAAACAAGGGGTAGGGGTAAAAATAAGAAATGGGATTGGGCCTACAAGTCTCTGGAACTGTACTGGAGGGATGGAACACAGTGCAATCAAAAGATATTCCCTCACAGTTGGTATTTTGATGATGGTAGTGCAGCGCACTGTCTAACACGTTGGTCTAAAATTTCCCACAATTGTTCAACTGACTTGAGATCTTGAAGGCATATGATTTACATCGTTTCCATTCTCTTTGACCATCGTGTCCTGTGGATGGGGTCACTGTCATCCTGAAAGAGACCATGCCAGCCAAAATGCCCCACACGTCATAACAGAGCCATCAGACCCCCTCACTGTAGGGGTCAAGCATTCAGGCTTGTACTGTCCTCTTGCTGTACGCTGCACATGCACTCTCCCACTTGTGGAGAATATGGTAAAGGATGACTCATCTGACCAGATCACTGTTGTGTTTATGCAGCCCTCCTATAAAATCCCTCTCTGTGTATTTGTGGACGGACTGTTCTTACTGACAGTCTGATCATGTCCTGCATTCACATTCTCAGTCTGCTGCTCCTCTGTTGTTGCTTATATATCATTTGTTCTCCGTGTTCCTGTCTTCAGAGGATAAAGGCCGAAAAATACAGAAGAAGACAGACTCTTATCTGGGATTAAAGCTCAGTGTTTTATGTTCTAATTGTCCTGCAATATGCTGACCTCAGAGCTTAATATGGCAAATCTTGAATGTTATTGCTGAAATAAGTAAGGAATTACACTGACAGTGGTATGTCCAAGCAGAGCCCTGCTGTGTCCACACAAACACGGGATTGGTCAGTGCTACCGGCTTTGCTCCTGGCCACATCTGCTCTGCTGTCTCACCGTATGGCCCTCCATCGAACACCAAGAGATACGACTCATAATGACTCATCAGATTTGGGGCATGCGTTTCAGAAATCTATTGTTTTTATGATTATGTATAATAACCAAATATTTATTTATTTAGGGTTTATTTTGTTTGTTTCTAAAAGGTCCATAGTAACATCAGCAAAAAATCACATTTATAACTTTAAACTTTCCTCAGATCAGTTAATCAGCCAAGACATGCTTCAGATTTTGCTTCTTTAGTTTTGGACTGGAATACTGAGACTAAGTTTGCTAACACTACAACTCAATAGTCACCCAAATAGGCAAAATCATTTCTGTAGAAATACATCACCTAAACTTTTTTCAACTCACTCAAACAGCATTCCAAGGCTTCATTAAGGTGGCCCAGATTTGCTGATGTGGTTTAGAGCACAGTATGACTCACTATCAGCTATGAAAATGAACATAACTTCACTGCAGCCATTTCAGACAAGACCAGGGCTGGTGTTCACAAAGCAGGACTGATCTTGGATCAGATTCCTCTGTATTAATGCCAGTCTACTGATTTTATTTAGCGCTCCTGCTCCTGAGGTCGTTTGTGAAAAGCTTTGTTCATTTTTATAGCGCGCAGTGAGTCATACTGTGTGCTAAACCACATCGACAAGACTGCACGAACTTAATGAGGACCTGGATGCAGTTTGAGTGGGTTGAGGTAAGTTTTTGTGATGGATTATTACGAAAACAATTTGGGCTATTTGGGTGACTATTGAGTTCTAGTGTTTGTTAGCAATGTTAGCTTCTATGCTTTGGTTCTATAGTTAAAAAGTGAAATTTGGACTCTAAATATGCCTTTGTACATCTGGGGTGGGTGGAAAATTGTCTAAATTTTTGCTGAATCAAACCAACCAAAGTTTGATATAAACACTGTTAAAGTTTGAAAACACTATTCAGTCCCCAGTTCATAGAGTCCATATATAAAAACTAGCTCCAAAACAGCCAGTTTTAAATTGATTGTTTTTGTGATGTCACATCACACACAGGCACCTGTTCAGCCTACAATGGTTAGCTCCGCCCACTCGAAGTAGTGCAAAAACAAGTGTTTCAGCTTCGATGGCTTTTTGAATGAGGCACAGTACAAGGCATCAGTTGGTGAAACAATAATGTGACATGGTTAAAGATTGGCCTGATCAAATCATTTACATTTCCTGGGCTCCCTTTGATGAATATCTTTATTCATCAAAATGAGATGTAACTAAAAATATGAATATATCTAGCAAATGTACGTTTTGCGAACTCAAAACAGTTCCTGCTGTAAAATACCATATCTACCATCTAGCAACATACCTTTGTTAGCATTTCTGCTTTTATTTCAATCTATGCTTGAATATTTTTGGGTGAACCTAACATTCGTACCGGCACCACACACACTTCCATGTCAGTGTCGCTGCTGTGCCAGACCCTGGTCAGAAACTGACCAATGAATGAATGGACTAGAGGGGGCTGATAAACTGTACAGAAATAGATGGACTACAGTCTGTAACTGTACACAGTTCTCCGAAGTACAAACTCGGCCCAGATTATGGAAGAGACAGCTTATTTTTCTCTTATTTTGGGGGGTGGGGGGGTGGGGGGGGGTGGGACATTATTTTACAATCTAAATTAAAGATGTCATTATTTTTAAGGCTCCGTAAGCCTGGCATTTGTCTTTCACCCACGGGACGGCCCACAGATTGAGTCTTGATCTTCTTCTTCTCTTTTAGCACAGACCCTGATGTAGATTTGCTTTTTGTTTTTTTAAGCCTCAAATAGGATGAT